TGGTATGTGGATCCAGTTACCATCTCGCATGGAATCAATGCAGCGACCTTCGGATTTGAAGACGAGCACCATAAGACACGGCTACAAGATCTAACACTAAGTCACCACCAATCAAAGGTTTCAGCTTCTATCCTCATAATAAAACTCATCAGGTCATCAGCCTGTATCTCCCAGAGATCAATGTGCCGCGTGTGATTGTCTATGATGTCATCATTGTTGCTACTGAGCCCGAGGACGATGAATGAGTCAGCAGCGACGTGTCCATCAGCAGAGTCCACCCACCCTGCCTCAGGCCACTCAGACTACGGTCAACGCCTCAGCAGCTCAGCACAACCACACTGCGGTTCGTTTACCGAGGGGTTTAAAAGAACTAAAAATTACAATCTTATAGTTCTCAAAACATCTACCTCTTTACCAGAATGTATAGTGTTTATTTGTAGCCTCAGCTAAATTACATCTTTACCAGCAGGCTATTTGCATGGACTGCGGTTCGTTCACCAAAGAGTTTACACGAGGTATAATCTTGTTACTCTCCAATTATCTACCTTTCAAAACGCCTCAGCAGAATGGCATCTTCACCTTCGCCAGTGGTTTTTAGGAAAGACTTCAGTCCATCCACTCTTGCATTAGCTTGATTAGTTCAAGCTTCATTTAAAGGAATGTTTATGTTGATGACTTGGCTCCATCCATTGGATAGCAGAAGAAAGATTGTAGACTGTTTCTTACATCGACTAATAATCAGGAACTTGATTGTCCACCACCTTGCCCAGCTTAAATTCCATGTTCCTTCAGGTTGAAGATCCAAACACACTATCGTGAAGTCTCATTTTTTCCACTTGCTATCCAAATTGCTCAAAACATCTTGCCGTAAGAGATCGATATATTCTAAAGCAGTGCTTCCAAATTTAAGAATCTAGTCAGATAAAGATTAACGAATAATTTCATTAATTCGTAAACCTATCGCTGTCACGTTTGCAAATATAAATATATATTTGTTCATATAATCGTAATTCAAAATACTATATGCAATGATCTATTTGCTATGCTATTTCTTTACTGACCATTTTTTATAGGTGTCAAGTGATACAAAAACAAATATTTTTATAAAATGTCCCTTGATCAAGAGTAGTCTGTCCCAGTCTAATCCATAAAAGGCAATTTTTCTGATGTTGATCAAACAAACTGTGGACTCTTGTTACAAATTTATAATCCTTGCTTTTATTTATATGATAGAGGGTATATTTAACAACCTGAATGTTTATCTATACTATTATACAGGGTGACCATTATTACCCTTAACTTCTATTAGCTACAGTAATAATGGTATTAAACATTTTTTAAACTTTGAAACGCGATTTCTTCCGACTGGGTCAACCTTTTGAAGTCCGGTTTGCGGCATTGTTTTCAGTTGAAGTAGACCTTTAAAATGATGTACAACGCAACATAGGCTGTCATTTAAGATTTTCTTCTGACCCCCAACGGGCCGTCCCCCAAAGGTGATATCCGACCACCATGTACACAGAAAAGTAGCACAATTGCCAGTAACGGTATACCAAATGTGGTTGTGATATCGTTTGTCGTTTAAAAGTTATAAAGTCGTCACCCTGTATAAAAATCTAATGGTGTCTGTCTGTATGTGTGTTACTAATAGGTGCAAAAACTACTGAATCAACTGGGCTTAAATTTTACAAAAATATAGCTACCATACCAAGGACCATTATAGGACTATTCACATTTTGATACTGACCGTAGACTTTGCCCCTTTGGCTTTAAAAGTTCTGAGGTGAACATTTTAAAAGTAAATATTGATTGGTCTCCATGGCTGTGATGTTTGTTTACATTTGCTTTGAATTTACATGTAAACAAGAAGAACTGCTAAACTGCATATTTCACAATTTCAGACAGCTGATACAAAGAAATTAAGTATAATATTTTCCATAATTATGAGGTAGGTTTATTTTAATCTATCCTTTTATCATGGATTATTTATTCTAAAACTATGTCAATATTATAGAATAAAAAAAATTCTATAACACCGTCTGTATCAACTCCGGCTCTGCTTTGGATTTTTTAAAGCGTCTAAGTTATGAAAATAATGTTATTGATATGTTTTCATGGAAACAGTATGCAAATTATAATGTATGGATGTTTTTTATGAATTCGGAGGCTACTTTAAATAAATTCTAACTGCTTAACATGTGTTAGATTAACTTAACATAACTTGCACATCACATTGTTTTTTATGTTTATATTTAGGTAAATTAAGTTATTGTGTTTTGCTAAACCTATGCTTAAATTAAACTAAAGAATATCATCAATAACTTAATTGTACGTCATTGATTTTTGTTTTCTAAAATCTGTTGTATATGTGTAACTATATTTAATTATCAAATAGTAATACAAAATACTCTTATTTTATCTTAACATAGCTTTCAGTTCACATTTACTTTATTTGATAAATGTATTGTTTATGTTTTGCCACATCACTGATTAAATTAAACCAAGGAAAATATCATAAAACTAAGCAGCACACAGAGTTCTTTTGTTCTAAAATCAATGACATATCTGTTACTATGTTTACTTAATGGTAAGTGTGAAATGTAAGGCCAATGGACGATGGAACGGATTAAAAGAACTGGTTTGTATATTAAGTGGTTTGTTGATATTTTTGTAGAGTAGAATCGGAGATGCAATGAAACATATTCTGTATTTGCTATTACATTTCTTAGTCCTTGATGCTTTGATAATCATATTAGTTTTGTCTGCTGTCTTTAATGCTAAATTATTTGTTTAAAATTTTGTATAGTACCTATAGATATAGTTTCTTTAACATTTCAAAAGACTGTATTGATAAGGCTCAGCAATATTTCTAAAGTTTATAACAGCTGCCTTAGTTTTGCTAATGATCTATTGTGAGTGAAGAAACTGAAGATTGAAGGATTTGTGATTTAATGTAAAGAAGAGTGGAATTAAAATAAAATGTTCATTTAAATTTAATAATTAGTATTTTTGCAACTTACTAGTTTTTCTCATACCAGCCTACACAAGATTTAAAATTAATCAAAACCAAAATGGTGGTATCCACTATTTACCAGATTTAAAAGTCATAACTTAAACGTTTCTATAAAAGGCTATAAAAGTTGATTTTTTTTCTAAAAGCGTTGGCGGATGTGTAACTATTATATGCAACAGATGTAATGATTAAAATGTTTCTATTTTTTGTCCTCTTCCCGTTGCAAAGCACGGGTACAGCAGCTAGTCCCTTTATATTTTCTCACGTGTTAGTTAAGTAGTAATTATTAGAAAGAGAATTTAAAAATACTGTTCCTTAACTTTAAGTATTATGTTAGTTGTGTTTTTCACGAGTGGTCATAGAACATAACTGATCATTGTACTTCATCCTCAAATTAATGGAGAGTATTGTTATTTTTAATTGGGCTTTTAGAGTTGCTTCAGTTCAAAAAGTATAATGAAACTGAAATTAAATTACTAATGATTTGCAACTATAGTGTATTTTTTAAATGCTGATACAAGTAACCTGATGACGTCACATTTCAGAAACTAAATATTGTTGCAACAATAAGCCATGTCAACAATTCCAAATAAATGGCAATTGCTACTAACACAATAATGTAAAAAAATTATATGTTTAGCCTTATTATTATTTTTGTTGAATTCGAAAATGTTGACACAGGCAAACAATTGGTTTGCTTTACTAATGGTGCTGTATACGCGTTCAGTTAGAATACACTGGATGGTGTTGAAATTTCGTTTTATTTTCTAGAAATATTTGATAAGTAGAATAGAATAGTCGAGATATCATCTCCGAATCTGATTTGCCAATTGATTCAGCCTTATTTCAGTTCAATTTAAATTAATCTAATCGAGATCGAGCTGGTCTACTGGTGGAGCGCGAGGTTCAAGGTGTGAGGTCCTGGGTTAAAATCCTTCCAATCATCAATGTCTTTAGATGAGTAATAACGCGTGATGGCAACGCCTGAGCTAACTTGTAAAACAGTTCCAGACATGAGTCTAGCGTCCTAGAATGTGAAGGAAATACATAAAACCCCGTGGACGTTTTATGAAAAAAGTATATCACGGGTGTTAAGCATCTAAGCCTGTCGCGTTGATGACCACATCGCCTGGTTGAGTAAGACGTTACGGCTTGTAGACACTCCGAGCCTAGCTCAGACTGTCTTGCGTGACCAGGTGTATCCTGCGATACTTTAGTCAATGGCTACATACACTGTAAATTTTAGCTTGACACACATTTTAGCTTTTTTATCTTACCTAATAATATTACCACAACATTTGAGGCCACCAGGCTTTGGCCGGAACTTTTTTCAGGCTAGTCATAAGACTGGGACCGTGGTGGCGTCGTCCTGTAATCCAGCTACTTGGAGGTCACGAATTGTGGATATTTATATATATGATCTGTATGCGATACTCCCAAGTGTGGATTAACTTCTACACTAGTGAGTACTACGAATATCCGCAGCTCCTACGACTCTCCTGATAATTAGACCAATTCGTAAATTACAAGACCAAAATGTGGATCGGATTCCATTATAAACTGTGTCCCTTACTTGCCATTGAGTGTATGTCAGCCATAGTCAGGAACAAGACTACAAGATCGCACCACTCGTCTCCATTTCTTTAAAATACCTACCTTTTTTATGATCGCCATTTCAATGAAAATTCCAGAGAGAATTTTAAAAAGGTGAATATGCCTATGAGTTGGCCGTCTTCATATATCTTTGGTAAATTTACAGCCCAGCCAAAGGATATAAAATATCCACTCATCTTTGTTCAGAGTTTCACAGAACTCTATCAACGTCTATTGAAGAATTACACATATTAGAGTAGTGTACCTGGACAGAGGTCATATTCACTCTTTATCAGTGTTGTAGGTCTACACCTTGTTATCAGTTGACCTTGAGGTCTGGAGCGCCACTGGAGGCTGGTATATAACAGTCGCCTCGCCGCTGGAGTGTCCAGTTCTCCAGCCATGCTCCTGTCACTCCAGGTGTGTTAGTGAAGTGTTACATAGTGTTATGTGCCTTACATGGATACTTTGGATATTGCACCATGCAATACTAGTACTAGAAATAGTGGATATTAGATTATAGATAGTTAAATAATATATTTTACTATTGAACTAGTCACTACATTCCAATGTTAAGAAATATGAGCTTTGTTGACTTTAGCTAACAAAATGTAGTGACTTTAATTATTTGCTGTAAATTACGTAAACTTTTCAACAAAATCAAATAAAAGACACTACTTATTATAATTAGAACATCTCTTATGTCGTGCTAACTATCATAGGATCAAAAACTACAGGAGAAAAAAATAGACTGTATCCCACTAGAGTTGTTCATGCAGATATGTTCTTCTTTAATGAAGATTTTCTATAATTGGTTTATATCAGTACACCAACTTCAGTATCCATCATCAAAGATAGACCCAAGTCACAAGAACATAAATAATAATAATTATTATATGTATTAGGCTACAAAATTATTATTAAATGTACTAGTATTATTAATATTAAAAATTCATTTATCGAATTGGATTTTCTAACATTTACAAAATTGGATAGTCCAAACACAATACTTGTAACGACATATTTTCATAAATACTCCTTTAGTTCAGAAAAAAAACTATAAAAATGCCCATAATGATTATCATAAATTCTTTTATTGGTATCTCTAAAATAAAAACAATATATCTTTACGATCCACGGAAAAACTTAACTAATTATGATTGAAAACTAACATCTAAGTCCATCTTAACTAGTTCCTGATATATTATCCCAAGTAAATTTAAATCAATATAAGATCGAACAAATTAACTCTGTTGAAGAGCGTGGTTTAACTAACAATAATGCTATATTTTGGCTTCACTGCTATATTTGTTATTACGAGAAACTCGAAAAATAAACATTTTCCATATTTAGCGTACGGTACCGTAGTTTTATGTAAATAAAAAATCTTCATTACTTTTCGTTAGCAAATGAAAGTATCGAAACCACTTTTGTTTTACAAAAGTGAAACATCTTGTAAGTGCATGTTTGAAACATAACTGCAAGTAATGTTAACACCAACTTAATCTTTATTAACCTGTGTTGACATATAAAATGTTATTGTCCACACCAACTATACATTTTTGTTCAAATATAAACAGTTAGAAACAGAAGGAATACATTAGTATATAAATATTTTATTGTAGGCTTCTTTAAAGTGACTATAATACTAGGGAAATCCAAGAAAAATAACCAGAGACCATAGCCACCAGAGTTCTTTAAGAATAAATTAAGGTAGAATAGAACAAAATGGGTATGAAAGGTCTTGATACATCTGGATAAGGTTGTGGAAATTATAATTCTTATCATGTATAAAAATATCAGTACAATATATAAGGACAGTTTAGTAATACCTTAAATTCATTGACTTAATTGCTTGATAGGACTACTACAGTAGCAATACGTACCTTTATTTTGTAAATGAAGATTTAGAAACACCCAAAAAAGATATACAATATTTGCCACTTAAATTTCAGGGATTTATAAGTAAAATTAGCAGCTTAGAATACAATTGGGAATAATGCGCAGTAGTTGGATTTATTACAAGAAACATATATATTTACAGTCTTTAAAGCCCTGTTTTTTTATCGACAAATGAAATTTTCAGAATCCAATAGTTTCTGAGGTAAATTAATGGTTGCGCAGTTAGGTTGTTCACCTGAAACTTCAAAGAAAAATATGATGAACATTCTACATAACATGTACAGTATTACCTTACTAAACATAAACCCCTTACTAAGTAACATGTTGTATTAATAGTCAAAGGTAACACATAAATTTGCATAATGTAAACAACACAATGTAACAGACCTTCTTCAAGTAAATCTTTCACTATTAATACGACAACTAGACATTCCATCCCCATGTTGTAGCCAGGTTTTTAATAAAATTTGTCTTAGTTGATGTGAGCCACCTACAGATTGTACTGATCTAAATTACTGATTTCTGCTGATTACATGATGGTTTTTACCAAGTTAGTCAATGAGTAAATACAGTGGGTAAAAAACAGGTTGTTGTTTGCATCGACCAGCTGTTGTTCATTTTAATTAAATAAATTATGCAAACCATAATTAATTGTTTTTAATAATTGATTTAATACTTGTTTTTGGCATGGGAACAGGGCTCTGGGGTAAAAATAGGGTTTTATCATTTTTGACTCTCAAAACATAAAGTTTCACAATTTCTCTTTACACCATTTTAAATAACTAAAAAAAACAAATAATTTAGTATATAGGAGTGTTTGTGTGCGGTTATTGGTTACGGAGAAAATAGAATAAATTGTAATTTTAAAATTCCCATGTTATTCTTATGGAGAATAACTTAATTGTTTTAGTTTGCTTGTTTATGGATATATTTGAATCAAAATGGCCAAATCTATTTATTTTGTTCTAAGCTATTAATATTTCACAAAAAACACACTTTATTACCCTCCCAGTGGACAGATAACCTAAGTACACATTAAACCTAATGCTATTTGAATAGATTTAATTGAAAATCAAATCAGGCGAATGGAAATTCGCTTAGTATGCAGGTTTGCTGCTTTGGGGGTATAAACTAATTAAATTATGTAAACCATAATGAATTGTTAGTAATTGATTTAATACTTGTTTTTAGCAAAACTGTAATCCTCTAACTAACATAGTGTCAGTTTGAGGGTTGTTTGTAATAGTTGGTTCTCGTCGGAAAGTGGTGTCTTCGCGGCGGCATATATACAGCGGGCGAGTCTCTAACACTCAAGGGAGGACCGAAGCCGCTAGGTGTTGGTAGTGAGTGACATTGTCCTACCGCTGCAATCGCTCTCCACTGCCAAACTCTGCTGTTTTTAACCAATGCTCGGGACTACACTCGGTGTACTACCCTTGCGATTGGTACATTACACCTCAGCGGCCCCATTTGTTCACCCATTTTTTTCCTATTTTGGACAAAATATTGTGATAATTGGCAACGACTTTGAACATTTTCAAGAATATGAGGTTTCCAATTTGAGGTCTTCTTATATTCATCAACATCTCCATGCATTCGTTTAAGATTCCAAACTGATCAAATATCGTGTATTCATTTATAAATGCTCAATTTTTAATATACGATTACATCCTACGATTTCATCAGCCTTTATCAATGTAGGGTTTAAAAATAAGAAAAAACCTTGTTTGTATCCCCGCCACCGCAAACCTGCAGACTAAGCCAATTTCCATTTGCCTGATTTGTTTTTCACTTAAATTTATAAATAATATTTACTTTAACGAGAACCTACATTTGCTGCTAAAGGGAGAGTAATAAAGTGTGTTTATAGGAAAATGATTATGGTTTGCTAGAAAATAAATAAACAAATTTTGCAAGTTTGATAAAAATATATACTTATAAAAGGCAAATACAACTCACTAATCACAATATCTAAAAACATTACAAAGCCATAACAAATCAGTACAGTAATCGAAATGGAGGTTCTAATTATTAAGCTCTAGGTGCAATAGGCAGCGTTTCAAGAAATTCCATCAGGGCTCTGCCCCAGTGGTATATGAAGTTTCCATGTTATCCTTATGGAGAAAACATAAGTCTGTATTCGAAAATCTTCAATTTCCATACACCAAAAACAAATAGTGATCAGCTGACTTTTCCTGATATAAACATTACTTTCGCTACACAAACAATACTTTTCCTACAGTTACCTAACAATGTACATGTTCTCTCACTGATTTGAGAAAGCAAAGTGGCCAATTCGCTCACCAGTGAGACAATGTTAACATTGTCTCACTCTAATTACTTTGTCTCACTCCAGATTTGCAACGTGAAGGCACGAAATAGTGAGCGCGTAACATGCAGGCAACGTCGTATGCGCGCGAAATACGTTGGCAGCACTGGCTGTAAATCAGCTGGTGAGCTGTTGTACTGTTGTATTTGTCACTTCACATTAAATGTTATATTAAAAGTTCACTTCTGTGTAAAAATAGGTTATGTTTCTTCATGTTTCTTCACAAATGTTTTTGTTTTATGGTAACTGTAGGAAAAGTATAATGTGCAATTGCCTCACTCGAGAAACCATTCCTCACTCGCCTATGGCTCGTGAGTAAGTATTTCTCTCGAGTGAGTCAATTGCTCCCTTTGCTCACTAGTTGCACAAATAACTATTTCCTGACATAAACAAAGTTAGAATCAGCTGATTTTAACACTAAAAACTACCCTACTTTTTTGGTATGTGCCGTAAGTAGTTGCTCGTTTTGGGTATATATAATAACCACGTACAGAGCCGAAATCGCCTACAGCTTCATACCAGTCCAACACTTTGACAACGAAGTGCTTTAAATTAGTTAAATGTTTTTCAGGTACACTCCACTAGGATTGAAACATACTTGCAGAATCCAAATAGTTTTAAATGTGTCCATGGGACTGATTTATTTCCCTATTACGGGTATTTAATTTATGTTTTAGTGGATACAGTCCAAACATTGTATCTAGAGGCACTGGATCAAATATCGTTAATCAACTATCGGTATGGCTTATCGCGTAATGCTACGACTCGGTAGTTTTCAGCACCCTAACTGTATAGCTGTATGTCCACATATAATAAAAAAAGACATAACCTATGACGAGGCTTAAGTTTTCCGTAACTGATAACTATCTAATAAAATAAACCAATTTATTACTGTACCAAATATACAGTGTGTAAATTAAGCCTTGAAACAAATCTGTATTTTTATAAACGAAACAGATAGAAATATTATTTTTCTAGCAATGATTCTTAACAAATTTTCCGCTATTTTTTTACACACAAAAAATGTATAGCTCCCCTATCATGGTAGGGGGTTGGGAGTGAATTATGTTTTTCAAATAGAAGCCCCTATTGAGTGACATGTTTCTTGTCAAAAGAAACACAATAACGCAAATCCAAAGTGAATATCTCGACCCTAGCCAAAATGGTGGGTATTTTAAAATGGGTGCTTTTTACATAAATCAAATTTTGGAATACCCGCCATTTAGGCTAGGGATGAAATATCTACCTCGGGTTTGCGTCATTGTATTTCTTTTGTCAAACCCTTCAAAATGAAACATGTCACTCAATAGGGTTCGCTATTTGAAAAAAATAAGTCAACCCCTACCCCCTACCCTGATAGGGGGGTTATACATTTTTTTCTGTAAAAAATAGCGGAACCTTTGTTAACAATCAATTCCACAAACAGAATTTTTTTCATTATTACGATAAAAAAATCGTTGCCACAAACAAATTGAGAACCTCCTCCTTTTGTTGGTAGTGGGGAAGTCGGTTAAAAATACAGATTTGTTTCCATATTAGTGAAATTAGTGCTTTTTCACTTAGGTGTACAGTAAATCGAACTTTAGAATACCTGCCATTTTGGCTAGCAGTAAGATATCCACCTCGGGTTAGCGTCATCTTTTGACAAATACTTCAAAATGAAGAGTCACTCAATAGGGGCTGCTATTAGAAAAAAATAAGTCACCCCCTACCACCTACCCTGATAGGGGGGGGGGGTAGAAATAATTATGGTATAAATACCCCTACCTTGTTAGAGGGGTTGAAACATATTTTTGATGTAAAAAATTACGGAACCTTCAGAACGTCACAAACAGAATATTACTATCTGTTTCGGTTAAAAAAAATATATTTTGTAAAGACTTAATTTACACACTGTATATACTTTTTGGTAAAGCAATATAAACACTAATAAACAAATTACATTTGTTGTAGCTCACATTTTGTCTTTATTCCGTTGCAGACGTTACTAACAGCAGCCGTGCTGGCGCTCGTGTCGTCTGCACCATCACCCTCCCCCTCACCATCACCCGCACCCTCAGACGAGGACTACTCACATGACGACGACAGTGGAGAGTACCACTCGGAGGAGGTCTACGATACCCATGAGCACCACGATCTACCAGCCCCCCAGTACGTCCCTCTACTGGCTCCCATCATCGTCCCAGACCAGTACAAGGGGGCACCCCTGGTCTCTCAGTATTCTCCTAAAGGTTCGCCAATAATAGTCCCGGAGTACCCGTACCCCAGCAAATCCCCCTACCTGGATTCTCCATCGAAGTCAATAGGGTACCCATCCAAGTCCGGGTATGAGTACGGGTACCCTTCCAAATCCGGGTATGAGTACGGGTACCCCTCGAAATCTGGGGGTTTGTCGTATGGAGTTCCGGTGATCTCTCCTGGGCTGTTCAAGACGGAGTTTGACGGAGCTGAGTACGCGAGTTACGCACCTCATCATGACCACGAGCATTACGTAAGTATTTGAGGACATTTCGAAAATATTCGATTTGTTAATAAATATCATAATAATTGTAAGTTGAGCTAAACAAAGAAAATACTTGTTTATGGTAACAATACATAACAAAATACACCAACAAACTAGTTTAAGCATAAAAGTGGTGTCTACTCCTCAGACTTCATCCTCATCATCTTCTACTAAGACCGTATATTTATATAGTGTTAAAGTACATCTTTGTTCACACGCAAAATTATAGGAATTCAACAATTACAATCTTTACGCGTAAACACTATTCATGAACTTTTCAAAGACACAAACTCAATGGAAGTTGAGTCTAGACAACATCGATGTATTTATTCAGTATATATTTTCCCACTATTACACCTTTTTTACAATTTCAGTCCAGTCGGCTTTAGTTTTTTATTCATCTGAACAAACGTTTAAGACACACATACAATATCACTTGAATTTAACAACAATTAACGTGACATCTTCCCTAGATCAAGAGAAAAAATGCAGTTCACCACTAGCGCAATCAAACGTGGCCAACACGAAACACACACATGCTTCACATTTTACTTTGGGATCACAAATGTACGTACGTAGAACATTTATTGTATTTTTCTATCAATGTGCGTTTGTTGCAGCACTACCCGAAGTACGAGTTCAAGTACGGGGTTCATGACCCTCACACCGGGGATATCAAACAACAATGGGAACATCGGGATGGAGACAAGGTGAGTTACAGATCTAAATAAGCAATCTGAAACATATTTTCTCACATTAGCTTGTCAACAACCTATATCATGGGTAGGTGGTGGGAGTAACTACATGATATTTTATGGGGAAAATCACAAACGTCGAAATAACTTTTGAGCAGTACTTTTACATCAATGCGGGGATTGCATTATTTTGTGTTTAATTATAAGGACTACAAAATACTAAATTTGTATCAAAATCGTTCGGGAAAATTAGATTTTTGTACTATTTATGGGTTTTATGGAAAATTCACAATTAAAAATCTATATTTCATAAAAAATAAAATCACCTGGAGATACCATGGTACACACATACCAAATTTGATCAAAATCGAACTACAGGTGCTCTGTAGCTCTGTACACATCCACACAAACATACAGACACACAAATACACAGGCATCACTTCGAAAATCACTTTTTGGGGCCCAAAACGGATATGTCTGCTCAAATACTAAAAAGTTTTGCTCAAATGCCCGAAAATTTTGACGAAAGCAATATTTTCTCCATAAATTTACGGTATAGGGGGAGAAATTAAAAATGGCAGTAAAGTAAGAATTTGAGATCCAATGTGATGATTATGATTTTGTTTTTATTTTTTCAATATAGACTTTGAATGCCTGTTCCATCTTAAAATTAACAAGCAGATACTCCATTCTTTCTTGATAGTCACACAATGCTCGTCGCTCTTAAAATTGGGCAAGTCAATCGTCAATCTGACTCTTATTCAACTTACAACCAGCTGTAGGGCTTTACCCCCTTTTCCAGATAACCCCTTAGCCAATGTTCTTATCATTCAGTGGTTGAAGACTATTGGTTACAAAAATCACTAAACACATACTGACAGTTCAAATGTTATTCTTATTTGCAAATATTGATTATAAATAAACATTGACAGGTTTGTAAACAATGATAAATAAACATTGATTATAAATAATCAGGCATTCCATGTAATGGAAGTTTGTTGGTAAGTAACCAAACCGCAAATGATTTGTGTACCCTCATTGCAGCAGAACTTCATACTCACAGACACTGTTTTTGTTTTACAATGAGTAGGTTGCCTGCTACGGATAGGGATACAGCATTATTTATGTTTGATATAATCAGAAATTTTTTTATCACCCAATTCTCTTGTTTTCAGGTCAAGGGTATGTACTCTCTTGTAGAACCCGACGGCACCATCAGGATTGTTGAATATACCGCTGATGACCACAACGGCTTCAACGCCGTCGTGAAGAAAATAGGACACGCTCACCACCCTCCCCCCAAACATCACTACGGGAAAAGCATCGACTACCCGATCAAGAGCATAGACTACCCTTCTAAGAGCATAGATTATCCCACCAAGAGCATAGACTATCCTGTAAAAAGCATAGAGGCACCTTACAGCTATAGTAGTTACGACTATCCAGCAAAGTCTGCCGAATACACTCCATCCAAATCTTTAGACTATTACTCGCCCTCTAAATCAGCTGATTACAAATAGTTGTAGTCCATCTTATTTTAGTGAACCAAAGCTTTAATATACTTTTGTACTTTTGTACTGTGAAAACCAAATAAAATCTTTTGAGTAAAATATTATTGTGCAATTCACCTTGGTAAGTACAACCGTAGATAAAACACACTCCCTTAGTAGATGTGTCATCCTTGGAACAGCGAAATTTTTGTATTTTACACGAAAGATATGTTGTACAGGAATACCTATCCTGGCACATAGTTAATTTGATTATGAGTTTGTTTAAATATTACAATAATTTGTTTTACATTCGAGCTTTTTAGGGACTTATGTCCCTACAAGCCACTAGTATCTATTTAACTATGAAAAACCACAACTTCTTATGATGAATGATAGAAGAGTGGAAGAGTAGCGTCTTGGTGACAAGATATCGAAATTCAGGAATAGTAGTTTGTTATAATTTATCATCGTGTAAATATATTTTTTTTATTGGCTGAAAACATTTATCATTTGTTTGTGGCAGGAAGCATTTACCTTAACCTACAGAGTAAGCAACCGCGTCGATGCTTAATTTGGGGTTTCTAATTAGTAGGCTACATGGACTCTACTAAGCCTCCAAAGTTTTCTCTACACAAAAAATAAATAACTACATCTATTACCTACCCAATCAGCCTTCATGAGACTAGATGTATCCTGACGAATACGGTATTATGTAATTATATATCATTGCATATGGGCAGTGTTTATATTGCTCGTCTTCAAATCTGAAGGAAGCTGGACGAGATCATTTCCAGACCAGTTGCAATTTGGGCTGTCAACCAATGATGCTCTCTTACATCAGGTTGTCGTTATATATTACCTAACAGTACCTGGACTATCCCTTGAAAACACGTTTATTAATGCAACTGGCGTAGATGGAAACAAAAATCTATATTCAATGACTTCGGAGGTAAGTTTTGACTTACAAAGGATCCATGTTAAACTACAGTAGGCCCTACCATTGACTATACACTGCATTGTTGTTTGTTAAGTTCAACAATTATATTCACCATTACCAACCATTGAATTAGCACTAGTCTTGAGAATGTCTTGTCCAAGAACTTACGGAATGATCAATACGGAGCTGTCCGTTGAAATGTAAAACACTAAAACACAATCTTCTCCGATTTACACTATTCTAAGGGTGCACATGGGGATTGTGCACAAAAATCTCTTATTGGCTGTTTTTCTGTTGATGTATTAATCATAGTTTATGCCGGGTAAGATATTTACTAATTATTCTTGTTTCAATTTTTGACTAAAATGCCTGAAACTAGATATTCAGAATAACTTGATATTATTGACGGTCTTTGTTATATTGCAAGTGATGTAATTAAACACGCATCTACGTTCCACAGTGAATTGCGTTGCGTATCGGCAACATTTGGTCATTTGGAGTAGATTCGATTGAAAAACTTATTCCGATTGTGTCCAATTTTTTTTCAAAACTTGACATTAGTGAGGAAAGCTAAAAAATAATGGCGTATACTAAAATTATGTATAAACCCATCCCGGGTTTGTGACTAGCGTCACGGGACAAAAAAGAGAAATAATATTTGTTTGTGATGTCGCAACCATCGATGTTTGATATAACGCGTTCGTAACTCACATAGTTGATAATTTATGTTTTCGAGCCATTAACCAAGGTCGCCGGGTGACAGGTTAAGCGGTGTAACATATCGTCCAACGATTATTGACGCATTTGCTACACGTCAAACTAAGAGAAATTGAACGATTATGTCAACGTTCGTAAAATATTGCCGCTAAGCTGTATTGGTTAAGTATTCGTTAAGCCCCACCTCCCTTCCTCTTTATCCACGCCCCCAGTGATGGTGGGATGTGGGTGACCGGTTGGGGGAGCGAAATTGTAACCCCCTGGAATTGAAAGGTTAGTGACGTCATAATGAAGTATCATCTTCTCGGCCAAAACGGCGTGTACGAGTCGGAATTGTATTCCCTCATAAAACTTTGATATTGTTATCAAAAATCAGAAATCAGAAACTTTTTATTGCCGTAATTTGCAAGGTACATGCATATGACAAAGTCAACAACAAATGAGGTTCAAGTTTAACCAAGAAAATGAAACTAGATACCGGTAAAACATAAATAGACAAAACATTTGTCTGGGCAGTCACAATACAGGGTGATTCAAAAAGGACTTTACAACTTTGAAAAAATTCATATAAATCTTATTAAACAAGGTACAGAGCTGGTTTTGGTGTTGTTTTAAAGGAAAACACTTCAAGTTTTTTTTACCTTAAACTAAAGATGTTCTATGCGACTTCCGTTGGATTTGGGGAAAATAATTATTTAGGTATGAAAAAATAGTGAAAACCGTTAAAAATTTGAGAGGGATTACAAAATGTTTAAAGTAGGGCGTTTTTTGACGGTGAAGGAGTGCGATACACCCACTCCTAGATGTGCTAGGGAGTTGAAATTTCGCACACTTGTAGTTCTTGGTTCCAAACCACCCATAAAATTCCAAAAAGTCGCATTCTTAAATTTTAAACCCCTTAAATATCCAAAATGGCAGACCTCTAAAAACGACAAAAAACATGTTTTTTTCAAACGGCTATAGCTCAATAACGGTAAGAGCTAGAAAAGATTTGAGGGAAAAACGTAGGTTCGGAATTAAATTTCCTACAAGACACTATTAAGCGTTTTTCGAAAATCTCACTCCTTCACCGTCAAAAAACGCCCTACTTTCAAAATTTTGTAAATTTCTCTCAAATTTTTTACGGTTTTCACTATTTTTTCATACCTAAATAATTATTTTCCCCGAATCCAACGGAAGTCACATAGAACATCTTTAGTTTAAGGTAAAAAAACTTGAAGTGTTTTCCATTAAAACAACACCAAAACCAGCTCTGTACCTTGTTTAATAAGATTTATATGAATTTTCAAAGTTGTAAAGTCCTTTTTGAATCACCCTGTAGATCAAAAAATAAAAATGTAGCTATGCAAGCATCGAGCCTATCAGAAACAAGACAGTAAAAGGTCAGAAACCCGAATAACTATACGGGCCGGAATCGTACCCCCCCTGGAATTGTACCCCCCTGGAATTGTACCCCCTGTCAAGGTAGTCTTCCTTCTAGGACCGGAATTGTACCCCCCTGGAATTGTACCCCCTGTCAAGGTAGTCTTCCTTCTAGGACCGGAATTGTAACCCCCTGGAACTGTTTCCCCTCGTGTACGCAGAAGAAGATGTACGACCCTGAATCGTATCCCCCTGGAATTGTACCCCCCACCCCATTTGACTCAGACCTCTTAATGCACTGAAATTGAAAGGGAAGTTTAATTTAAACTGAATACGAACTCAATTGAAAATAAAATTAATTAAATCCCTATATAGGTCTATGTCGTCTGTCGTATCCTGGTCGTATCCATTTGTCTTTTGTGCGTTACAGTCCACCCGATCGCCGTGAAACTTTGGAAAGTTGCTTTATATAATGTTACAGGCAAAGTATATAATAAGGAATATTATAGAATTATTAGTATATAGATATTTCCTAATATAAACCAAGCAATGCATGAAATAGACCTCATTATTATACTTTGCCTATTCATTATATAGTATAATCGTTGGCACTGCAGGTAAATTATAAAATACGGTGTTTTAGGATTGTCAGATTTGTTATCCTTGTTGGTAATATTCTAATATATAAAATTCTCGTGTCACAGTGTTTGTCTGCAAACTCCTCCGGAACGACTTCACCGATCGTTATGAAATTTGGTGTGTAAATTCTGTAGGTATGCGAATCGGACGTAAACTATTTCCCGTTTCGAAATTCTTAAAAGGGCTCCGCCCCAGTGGCTCTGGAGTTTCCCATGTTAACCTTATGAGAAATGGAATTAATGAATCTTAACAGCTGTTTCAATTAAACAAGTTGGTTCTGTTCTATGATGTTCATTAGCATTAAAGTTACAAGGATTACCAACAGGGTGCAGCACTATTATTTCTTTTACATTTATGACAACAGCTAATTTGCAACCAAAAGGCAAGTGAGCGCAGCGAACGAGCTCCAACCTAAAGGTGAGTGAGCGTAGCGTAGCGAACGAGCTCCAACCCAAAGGTGAGTGAGCGTAGCGAACGAACTTAAACCAGGACGTGATTGAGCGATGCGAACGAGATCATCTTGAAAATTAAACGTAACGGTACTTTCTTTCCATCGGTCTGTCTTAGGGGAAACCTATAACTTTGGCGATACGAAGTTCGCCGGGTCAGCTAGTCCTTATATATAATTCTGTAAGACAAAATTTTTACCAGAAAATTGTGGACGTCTGGTAAGTCACAGAAAAGTGGGAGAGGTCTTAAATTAAAGGTCTTGACCCCAGGGACTCGGGAAAAATAGCAGAATTCCCATAAAGTTACCAGAAAACGAGATATAACGTAAAATATCCACCATAAGAAATGCATGGGGACTGAAAAACGTCTGCGTTCTATCAGCTGTTACTTATTTATTTGCAATCTTTACATTTATTCCGAAAGTCAATGTTGGTAAATAATGTTTCAAAATTAATTGTGTTTGATTTTTTGTTTTCCGTTTTGATAATGAGTGAAGTAACTAGACAGGGTAGGGGAAGACCTGCAAGACGTGGAAGAGTGTCCAGGATTTCAACAGACTTAAGAAATGCAAAAGAGAACGTCATGTAGGGCCTAACTCTGAAAGAAATCCAGACGCTGTTTTACAACCTGTCTTTAAAAGAACGCTGGAAAATGAGTTGAGTGTTGTTTTTTCACAAATCTAGGTCCTCTTAAAGCACTTGCATGCATTGTGGCGCATTTCACTTCACAGAGGAGGCCGCAAATGGACATTTCAACGCATGTTGCCACAATGGACATGCCACAACCACAAGTAAATGACGAACTAAAAGAACTGGTTTTACATGATTTGAACTTCATAAAAAACATAAAGCAATACAACAGTGCAATGGCTTTTGCGTCGCTTTCCGCTACACAAAAAGAGAAATCGGCCTTGCTGTCTTAAAATTCAGGGACAAATGCATACATATATTTCTGACTTACTACCGCAAAATGGGGAGTTGCTTTCATAATAATTAATAATAGCCTAATTTTAACCTTTACATTTGGTTCTCAAAATGGAAACTATAACAGAATTCGTAAGATTACAAAACAAATCATCAGTTTTAAACTAGAAAAGATGTGCAATGTTTGGCTGTATGATTTCATCTATGATTCGTCGTTCTCCGGGCTCAGGCCAAACCGTGTGCACGTTTCCATTTGTAAATATGTTTTGTTATTGATTTGAGGTACTCATTATTTTACAATTGTATTTCATTGACGCATCAGAAGCAACTAATATACGACTCCAACGGTCCAACGGAAGGAAAACCAAGATATAAAACGAGAAACACTGTTAATTTTAAGTAACATAAAACATAACATAACATATTGATAATTTTAAAAACATATTTCGAATATTCGTCTTTTTATATATGGTTTTTTATTGTAGTCTAAATAAGGGGCTATGGCCCCTACAGGCCACTAGTTTTATTTAATTTTAAATAGATTTACCTAACCATGTCGGTATTAAAAAATGCCATATGTTCATTGGTGTTACGAAAAAGCCCTTGCAAACTACAAATTGTAGTTTCAGAGTAAAATGTAAAATTTAGGAAATTCCACAGATATTGGAATAATACTGGGCTAAACCACAACAAACTATCCAAATGTTTGTGTATTTGTACCATATTCATGTTTCTATGTTCGTTTCATCCTAGTTATAATTGTGTTTAAGACGAGTTGCAGGCTTTGATGTTGTCTTCGCAACGACATGTAAGCTGATGAGCAATATTAATCGTTGGACTATTTGACGGCGGTAGTGAAACCAATTATTGTACTAATACATTTACTTAAAACCCCATGTAATGAAAATCCTTTATTTCAACAGGCAAAGTTAGGGCCACATGACCCTTTATCACAACCTGCATACATATAAATATAAAATAGAACACGCAATTTAATAGAAAACATTATTTACAAAAAATTTATACTTTTAAAAACAACAAAAATGTTCTAAAAAAAACACTCACACGCCCAAGCTTCTCAGTCAGCAATTACGCAAGCGCCAAAACAGTCCTAGGACCAACGATCACATAAGACCAATTAATGGAGCACGTTGGCCGCGACGTGGGATTTTTCACCTACAACAAGATGGCGGCTGCCGGCTGTGATGAGCAGAAGTTAGTTTACAGCTGGCGATGAGCCCTAGTAGCGAGCGCAACTAATTAAATGTTAGTTGATATCAATAATATCCGTGATAATACGCCTTTGTATTATAAATATTTCTATTACTAACACAATGACCTTCAAAATACGTTTTAATTTTTTTCTAGCGTTTACAGTTTCTTAGAAAAAGTTAGTTTACATAATTAACAACAAAAACTTTTTGGGCGTAACAAAATTCTGAAAACCTACAAATTAATTTTAATATATGTATCTATGTTGAATAAAAGTTCGATAAAGTTCTGACGTTTGGTTTACAATGTACGAATTTTCAAAGTCACACGATATTTTTTGAAACTCTTAAAACAACGCTCTTTTATATTCTGACTGTCACATTAGTTTTGATAAGTGAGCTAAAAATAATCGTTTTTAGACGAATACAAAGAATAAAAAGTTGAACATTTCTCCATGTTTAGGGACTCGTCCGTTTATAAAAAGTTCCCCGCAATAAAATTGTGATTCTAGCAGGCCTGCCCGACGCGACGCGGCAGGTGTCGACTATGGTATAACCAAAACTACAACCAAACTATAGCAGCTAAAAATAAAAATAAATATGATAATGTTAGTTAGATAGGAGTGCTCCATCTATTGGTCTTTCATGTGATCGTTTCCTAGGACGCACCAGCCGAAGCCAAACGCTCAAAATACATTTTGCCGCCACGAACCGAGGCCGACTATCAAGCATTTTAATGGATAAAAGTAGGTTGTTCCAAAGACGGCAGGCAGTTACAACAAATGCCCTGTCATGTTGTACTCCTACGACGAGGTATGCGCATCGTGAAAGATGCAGTACGCAAACTCCTCAAACTACCTTCATTTATGTTTGTTATATGATTCGATTGTATTTATTACTGGTTACACTCTCGAATAAATACAAGGTTAAAAGAGGCAGCCAACCTAATTTTAATAAAATAAAAAAAAAAAATATTAATGTACGAACACTTTGTAATTTATATACATTTTTTACTAGTTATATTACTTTTCATTTGCTTTATAAAACTGCTATGATAACTTGGAGCAAAAGTAGTTGTTGCTTATTACGAAAAACGTCAAAAATATCAATCACAAGTGGTAAATAATTATGGTGCCGCCAAACGTTGGCAACTGCTGCGGTTATCAGTCAGCCAACCATTTCCAGCTAGAACGTTCTGCCACAAACATGATATGGACGGTTTTATGCATCGGGTTTCTCAAATTTGTGAATGTTCATGGATGTGGGTAAGTTAACACTGTATAACAGTTTTATTTAAAGAGTATCTTAAAGTGATATTAATTTTAAAATGAACTGTAGAAATATTGTTTGAATTATTGCATTTTACAGGGTGGCTCTACCACTGACTGGCCGTTTGGATTATTGTATTTTACAGGGTGGCTCTACCACTGACTGGCTGTTTGGATTATTGTATTTTACAGGGTGGCTCTACCACTGACTGGCCGTTTGAATTATTGTATTTTACAGGGTGGCTCGACCACTGACTGGTCGTTTGAATTATTGTATTTTACAGGGTGGCTCTACCACTGACTGGCCGTTTGAATTATTGTATTTTACAGGGTGGCTCTACCACTGACTGGCCGTTTGAATTATTGTATTTTACAGGGTGGCTCTACCACTGACTGGCCGTTTGAATTATTGTATTTTACAGGGTGGCTCTACCACTGACTGGCCGTTTGAATTATTGTATTTTACAGGGTGGCTCGACCACTGACTGGTCGTTTGGATTATTGCATTTTACAGGGTGGCTCTACCACTGACTGGCCGTTTGGATTATTGTATTTTACAGGGTGGCTCTACCACTGACTGGTCGTTTGGATTATTGCATTTTACAGGGTGGCTCTATCACTGACTGGCCGTTTGAATTATTGTATTTTACAGGGTGGCTCTATCACTGACTGGCCGTTTGGATTATTGTATTTTACAGGGTGGCTCTATCACTGACTGGTAGTTTGGATTATTGTATTTTACAGGGTGGCTCTACCACTGACTGGCCGTTTGGATTATTGTATTTTACAGGGTGGCTCTACCACTGACTGGTCGTTTGGATTATTGTATTTTACAGGGTGGCTCTACCACTGACTGGCCGTTTGGATTATTGTATTTTACAGGGTGGCTCGACCACTGACTGGCCGATTGAATTATTGTATTTTACAGGGTGGCTCTACCACTGACTGGCCGTTTGGATTATTGTATTTTACAGGGTGGCTCTACCACTGACTGGTCGTTTGGATTATTGTATTTTACAGGGTGGCTCTACCACTGACTGGTCGTTTGGATTATTGCATTTTACAGGGTGGCTCTACCACTGACTGGCCGTTTGGATTATTGTATTTTACAGGGTGGCTCTACCACTGACTGGTCGTTTGGATGATTGTATTTTACAGGGTGGCTCTACCACTGACTGGTCGTTTGGATTATTGTATTTTACAGGGTGGCTCTATCACTGACTGGTCGTTTGGATTATTGTATTTTACAGGGTGGCTCTATCACTGACTGGCCGTTTGGCTTATTGTATTTTACAGGGTGGCTCTACCACTGACTGGCCGTTTGGATTATTGCATTTTACAGGGTGGCTCTACCACTGACTGGCCGTTTGGATTATTGTATTTTACAGGGTGGCTCTACCACTGACTGGTCGTTTGGATTATTGTACTTTACAGGGTGGCTCTACCACTGACTGGCCGTTTGGATTATTGCATTTTACAGGGTGGCTCTACCACTGACTGGCCGTTTGGATTATTGCATTTTACAGGGTGGCTCTACCACTGACTGGCCGTTTGGATTATTGTACTTTACAGGGTGGCTCTACCACTGACTGGCCGTTTGGATTATTGCATTTTACAGGGTGGCTCTACCACTGACTGGCCGTTTGGATTATTGCATTTTACAGGGTGGCTCTACCACTGACTGGTCGTTTGGATTATTGTATTTTACAGGGTGGCTCTACCACTGACTGGCCGTTTGGATTATTGCATTTTACAGGGTGGCTCTACCACTGACTGGTCGTTTGGATTATTGTATTTTACAGGGTGGCTCTACCACTGACTGGCCGTTTGGATTATTGTATTTTACCGGGTGGCTCTACCACTGACTGGCCGTTTGGATTATTGTATTTTACAGGGTGGCTCTACCACTGACTGGCCGTTTGGATTATTGTATTTTACAGGGTGGCTCTACCACTGACTGGTCGTTTGGATTATTGTATTTTACAGGGTGGCTCTACCACTGACTGGTCGTTTGGATTATTGTATTTTACAGGGTGGCTCTATCACTGACTGGCCGATTGAATTATTGTATTTTACAGGGTGGCTCTATCACTGACTGGCCGTGAAGTCCCCATGAGAAATCGCTGGAACGTAAGTATAATTACATCACAGAACTTACTTATCTGACTACATGAAACTTAACAGTTTGCAATGTATTTATTATAAAATGACTTCCTAAACAACGCATTTATACGTAATCCTAAAGTCCGACGTAATTTAATCGTCAAAATTGACAGTTAGTAAATGGAAACTCAATTTCAACCAGTTGTAAAATATAATGTCGGTTACCTACAAATAAGTCCTCCAACGTAACTTTAAAATCGTTGCAAAATCTTTTTTTTTTTCATCTCTATATTTAAAAAATCATAAAAAAACAACTACTCTCTTCCACACACAGAAGTATTTCTTCTTTGAGGAAGACATTTCGCTAAGAATAATTTAAAAAACTTCTTCATTAAATTTTTGTTATAAAAAAAACCTAAACAATATTGTAAACACTTTTGCACATAATTAATAAGATGTAATTTGTAATTGTTATGAGAAATTAATGGCATTTTCATTTGATTTGAACAATATGCACTTGCGATTTGTTAATACTGTAGGTCAATTATTTATTTGAAGTTACATCTTTTGACGTTTTGGTAAAGGATCACTATGTATTTTTAAGTTAAAAAGTCCTCTAACTTAAATTGTTTGTAAACAGTTTTTAACATGCGTATATTGTTGGATAGAAACGTGTTTAATTTTTTGATTGCTTAAGATACAAAAGTCTTTTATATCTAATTTTTCGACTCGGTTACGCTCATATTTGGTAACCGCTGAAAACGTGTCTTAGTGAAACTAAAAATGGACAGTTGAGAAATAAATCCGTGGAGTGTTCGTGTGTATTATTGAAAAATGAAGAGAGAGAAAATTATCAATACAACTAGACATTCCATCCCCATGTTAAATTTGTTGCCAGGTTTTTTTTTATCAAAATCGTCGTAGTTGATGTGAGCCACCTACAGATTGAGCTGATTTTGAATAACTAAATTCTGCCGAAAACACGCTCTTTTTAACCAAGTCAAACATAGGGAATGACTAATGATGAGTTACAGCAACTTTTATGACCAGCAACAAAAAAAGAGGCATAAAAAGAACTTTAGACACTAGTGCATTCTGTGACTGGCTCACACAACTACATTCTTTTTTAATGAAAAAATTGGCTTCAGCTGGTCCATAGATGGGATGTCTACTTCAGTATCTAATAGTCAATGGTAAAACCATCGATATCGCTGTAGTAATAATAGAGATCGATGGGTAAAACATGTTAACAAGAAGAACAGAATCAGAATGGAACAATGTTTATTTGTTCAATATGATGAATTATTTAACAATCATCAGCTGTTGTAATTAATTCTAAACAGGCTAAAGAAAAATATTAGGTAAAAGAACTGAACAAAATCTTTCATTTATTTTTTACATACAATTAATCAGTCTATCGCAAAAATATTAATATTTAATAGAGATTCCGAAACAATGCATTGGCGTGTTCCTAAATCCCGACCTAAATTTCATCGTCGAAAATGACAGCTTGAAATTGGAAACTCAATTTCAAAACAATAGGAAACGTTATATGGTGTATTTTTAAAATTGAAAATAGAGTTGAGATAACTGTCTGGTCAACTGAACAAACTGAACCAACTGAACAAAACCGGATTTCGTGAGTATATTTGATCTAGTAAATGTTCAATATTTTTCCCTTGTTATAAAAACAATATTTAGGATTAAACTGTTAAAAATACAGAGAATTAATTTTGATTTATAGGTGTTTTACCACGCGGTCATTGGAATAGGAACGCCACCTCAAGAATTGAGTGTTCACTTCGATACAGGGTCAATGGATTTATTTGTCTATAAGGAGGGCTACACAATGATACCTGGCGGTAAGCTTAACTGATCGATTTTTCATTTGTTTGTTTATTAAGATATTTATATGATAAGTACGGGTGTGGTTTTTATTCTGAGACATGTATGTATTTTTCTGGCTTCACTTCTTGAGGAGCATCATGTTATTTTAAATGAGGATCAAAATAATTAATTTTGAAATTAAATAACTTATAAATCTGCAGATAGGTGCCGGCGTTTAAAAGGCTATATGATGTTTAAATTTGTTTTTTACAAACATTTTGGTGGATTTCCCATTTAGATAATAAGCTTTAACCGTAAGTCTCATGGTAAGACTTAAGCCCAGGGCTTATTTTTTAAAGAGTTTTCTTACTTTTTACATTGAAATAAATGCTCATTTATTTTACAATGAGACAAAATTATTATTAACACAAAAATTATCACAATGCTTCATCCCTAAATGGAATTTTACTCAAAATTTTCACACCATTCAATTATTGTATTGTTGTTCTAACTAGTGTACATGTTGCTCGAATTCGAGCAATTGCAAAGTATTACAGGAGTTATTTCAAAACGAATAACAGCCATATTTACAATAAGTTTAAAAAAGTCAACTCAAAGATTACCGGTGTGTAACTCAGACCATGTTTATCTTCGTTATTGATAAACCTAAAGCATTCCAGCCGGTTTTCTCTTCCTCAAAATGCCTCGCTGTACATGCAACACAGATCATTGATAGAGGGCTAATTGAGAACGAAAAGTCGTTTTGAGGTAGTGTTAGGGCGCATTTGTAACCTAATAGTTGAGATTGTCCAGGGTCAGGTGCTGACTCTGATGAGTTAAGCCAAGGCCACACTAGATATATCTAGTGCGGCCTTGGTTAAGCCTATTACGCGCCACTGCTCTGTAGCTGCAGTCGTTCACGAGGGGTAGCGGATTTTTACCCCCCTGGAATTTTACCCCCTGGGCAAACGTGACGTCACAAACCAGGGGGTAAAATTACGGCCGCGAACTTTTGAGTTTCGCGACATCAGCTCGATGGATTAAACGCGGAATTAAATATATATTTTCACGGGTGTGAGTTTAATCAGAACACATCAAATTATAAAAACCTAGAATATACGGCCCGGATTTTTACCCCCGGAATTTTACCCCCCGGATTTTTACCCCCGGAATTTTACCACCGGAATTTTACCCCCCGGATTTTTACCCCCGGAATTTTACCCCCTGGCCAGATTTATAAATTAGCGAGAATGATTAATTATCGTGTTTCAGTTTTAATTTAATGGTAAACATTTTATTATTAAGTAGCCTTCTTAATTTATATATAACATTAACTAATCGAACAGGGTTTAAATATTAATTTTGAGATTCGAGTGTCAGGATTCGATCTTTGAAGCCAACTGTTGGTTAATATGATCAAAATAAAACAGCGAATTCTGTTTACTTAGTTGAGATTACAAAATAAATAAATTAAGATAGGCTACTAAATAATGAAATGTTTCCATTTAATTAAAAACAGAAGTAAGAAAATCAATCATTCAATTTCTAAAATCAGCCAGGGGGTAAAATTCCGGGGGTTAAAATTCCGGGGGCAAAATTCCGGGGGTAAAAATCCGGCCAGTACATCTTCAGTTGTCTAAACGCTAGTTATATGGACAGGGGGTAAAATTCCGGTTTTTATCGCTAATCTAATTAATCACGCTCTGACTATTTTCATTAGACTTCCAAATCCGCGGGGGTAAAATTCCGACCGCGAACAAACCTTTGGCCACTCAGGTTACTACGTCATAGTGACGTCAGCTTTGCCCAGGGGGTAAAATTCCAGAGGGATAAAATTCCGGCGACCCATAATCGGGAACGGGTCGCCGGAATTTTATCCCCCTCCTGTCCAATCATGCTAACACGATCCGTCATAGTGACACAAAACAACGATAACTACACAAATTTAAGATACAACCATACTTACACGATCCGTCTTAGGGGTTATGTTTACACAATCTCAAATAGTAAATAAATGTACTCAATGCGTTGGGTCTAGCCATCGATCTCTATTATTATTTCAATAAAGATCGATGGGTCTATAGTTCGGCTGCTTAGAAAACGACCTGCGCGCTAATGCTAAACAAATGCTGGAGGAGGTCGTTTTCTAAGCGGCCGACCTATAGCTGACTTAGGGGAGGTACGAATGAGGCATTATTCTTAGTTCAAAATTCCTCCGTGAAAAGCGCTGTAGTAGAGAGCACATTGGCAATGAAGGTTTACTAATAGCATAAATAGTTCTGTTCATAAAATAAAATATAAATGCCTCAAATTCAATTTTATAATTTTTTTAATTATAAAAACTATTATAACCTAACCAAACTAACCAAACTTGCTGAGAATGAAAATAATATAAAAAAAGTTTACTAATAGAAAAAAAAATAATAGAATAAAATAATAGTTCATTAAATAAAACTAAAAATTGCTCAATTAAAATGTTATAATGACTTAATATGCTCTTATACGTCGACTCTTATGCATTTCGTAATACGCAAACTCCTCCTAGACGGCTGAATCAATCGTTTTCAAATTTTGCATGGTGATAAAGACCATATCGGTGAGTGCCAACATCTATATGGCGTTAAAAAAGTCTCTCAGGAATCCGCCCCACTGGGTCTCAAAGTTTCAATGTAATCCTTATGGAAGCAGTATTTGACACATAAACAAAGTCATATGATCAGCTGTTGACTTTTGAATGAAGTAGATAAAGAAATAGCATTATTCCACAGATATTAGAACAGAAACGGTATGGATCATAAATATAATCAAATGACGACACTAGCTTGAGGTTCGTGACGTAGGAAGTGGTGAAGGAAGTAGTAAAGGTGAGCAGTCTGGAGTGTGGAAACTGTTTATGACAATTAGATTTAGGTATCTGCATTCCTAAAATTCTATGGGAAGGGAGGAAAACGGGTCCGCGACGTAGGACGTGGTGAAGGAAGTAGCCAAGGCGAGCTGTCCGGACTGTGGGAACTGTTTATGACGATTAGATTAGGGTATCTGCAATCCAAAAATGCCATGGAAAGGGAGGGAAACAGGTCCGTGCTATGACGTATGAAGTGGTGAAGGAAGTAGTAAAGGCAGGTTGTTCGGAGTAGTAAAGGTGAGCAGTCTGGAGTGTGGAAACTGTTTATGACGATTAGATTAAGGTATCTGCAATCCTAAAATGCTATGGAAACGGAGGGAATCAGGTCCGTGACGTAGAAAGTAGTGAAGGAAGTAGTAAAGACAAGCAGTCCGGACTGTGGGAACTGTTTGTGATGGTTTTATTGAGGTATCTGCAATCCTAAAATGCTATGGGAATGGAGGAAAACAGGTCCGTGACGTAGGAAGTAGTGAAGGATGTAGTAAAGGCGAGCTGTCCGGAGTGTGGGAACTGTTTATGACGATTAGATTAAGGTATCTGCAATCCTAAAATGCTATGGAAAGGGTGGGAAACAGGTCCGTGACGTAGAAAGTGGTGAAGGAAGTAGTAAAGGCTAGTTGTTCGGAGTGTGGGATCTGTTTGTGACCAATAGATTAAGGTATTTGCAATCCAATAATGCTAAGGAAAGGGAGGGAAACAGGTCCGAGACGTAGGAAGTGGTGAAGAAGAAGGAAGTAGTCAAGGCGAGCTGTCCGGAGTGTGGGAATTGTTTATGACGATTAGATTAAGGTATCTACAATCTTAAAATTCTATGGGAAGAGAGGGAAACAGGTCCGTGACGTAAGAAGAGGTGAAGAAAGTAGTAAGGTGAGCAGTGTGGAGTGTGGGAACTGGAAACCGTTTGTAGAAGTTAGATTAATATTCCTGCAATGCTGAAATGCTATGAGAAGGGATGGAAACATGTCCACGACATAGAAAATGGTGAAAGAAGAAGTAAAGGCTAGCAGTGCGGAGTGTGGGCAATGTTTGTGGCAATTAGATTAACGTATCTAAAATACTAAAATGCTATGTGAAGTGATGAAAACAGGTACACGATGTAGGAAGTGGCTTAGGAAGTAGTAAAGTATGAGCATAGTGTGAGAACCGTCTGAAACAGTTAGATTAATGTATATTCAATCCTAAAATGCTATGAGAAGGGAAGGAAACAGGCCCCACGACGTAGGAAGTGGTGAAGGAAGTAGTAAAGGCTTGCAGTGCAGAGTGTGGGAACTGTCTTTGGCAATTACATTAATGTATCTGCAATCCTAAAATGCTATGGGAAGAGAGGGAAATAGGTCACTCTTATTGAGCGGAGCGAGCGAAGTGAGCGAAGCTCTTATACGTCGACTTTTATGCATTTCGTAATACGCAAACTCCTCCTAGACGGCTGAATCAATCGTTTTCAAATTTTGCATGGTGATAAAGACCATACCGGTGAGTGCCAATATCTATATGGCGTTAAAAAAGTCTCTCAGGAATGCGCCCCACTGGGTCTCAAAGTTTCAATGTAATCCTTATGGAAGCAGTATTTGACACATAAACAAAGACATGTGATCAGCTGTTGACTTTTGAATGCAGTAGATAAATAAATAGCATTATGCCACAGATATTAGAACATAAACGGTGGTATGGATCATAAATATAATCAAATGACGACACTAGCTTGAGGTCCGTGACGTAGTAAGTGGTGAAGGAAGTAGTAAAGATGAGCAGTCTGGAGTGTGGAAACTGTTTAACACGATTAGATTTAGGTAGGTATCTGCATTCCTAAAATTTTATGGGAAGGGAGGAAAACGGGTCCGTGACGTAGGAAGTGGTGAGGGAAGTTGATTTAGGTAGGTATCTGCATTCCTAAAATTCTATGGGAAGGGAGGAAAACGGGTCCGCGACGTAGGAAGTGGTAAAGGAAGTAGTCAAGGCGAGCTGTCCGGAGTGTGGGAACTGTTTATGACGATTAGATTAAGGTATCTGCATTCCTAAAATTCTATGGGAAGGGAGGGAAACAGGTCCTGCGACGTAGGAAGTGGTGAAGGAAGTAGTCAAGGCGAGCTGTGCGGAGTGTGGGAACTGTTTAGGACGATTAGATTAAGGTATCTGCATTCCTAAAATTCCATGGGAAGGGAGGGAAACAGGTCCGCGACGTAGGAAGTGGTGAAGGAAGTACTCAAGGTGAGCTGTCCGGAGTGTGGAAACTGTTTATGACGATTAGATTTAGGTATCTGCATTCCTAAAATTCTACGGGAAGGGAGGAAAACGGGTCTGCGACGCAGGAAGTGGTGAAGGAAGTAGTCAAGGTGAGCTGTCCGGAGTGTGGGAACTGTTTATGACGATTAGATTAAGGTATCTGCAGTCCTAAAATGCTATTGGAAGGGAAGGAAACAGGTCCGCGACGTAGGAAGTGGTGAAGGAAGCATTAAGGGCGAGCTGTTTGGGGTATAGGATCTGTTTATGACCATTAAATTAAGGTATTTGCAAACCTAAAATACTATGGGAAGGGAGGAAAACAGGTCCGCGACGTATGAAGTGGTGAAGGAAATAGTTAAGGCGAGCTGTCCGGAGTGTGGAAACTGTTTATGACTATTAGATTAAGGTATCTACAATCTTAAAATGCTATGGAAAGGGAGGAAAACAGGTCCGCGATGTACGAAGTGGTGAAGGAAGTAGTCAAGGCGAGCTGTCCGGAGTGTGGGAACTGTTTATGATGATTAGATTAAGGTATCTGCAATCCTTAAATCCTATGGAAAGGGAGGGAATCAGGTCCGTGACGTAGGAAGTGGTGAAGGAAGTAGTAAAGGCGAGTTGTCCGAAGTGTGGGATCTTTTTATGACCAATAGATTAAGGTATTTGCAATCCAATAATGCTAAGGGAAGGGAGGTAAACAGGTCTGTGACGTAGGAAGTGATGAAGGAAGCAGTAAAGGCGAGTTTTTCGGAGTGTGTGAACTGTTTATGACGATTAGATTTAAGGTATCTGCAATCCTAAAATGCTATGGAAAGGAAGGGAAACAGGTCCGTGACGTAGGAAGTGGTGAAGGAAGTAGTAAAGGCGAGTTGTCCGGAGTGTGGGATCTGTTTATGACCAATAGAATAAGGTATTTGCAATCCAATAATGCTAAGGGAAGGGAGGTAAACAGGTCCGTGACGTAGGAAGAGATGAAGGAAGTAGTAAAGGCGAGTTTTTCGGAGTGAGGGAACTGTTTATGACGATTAGATTAAGGTATCTTAGTATCTACAATCTTAAAATTCTATGGGAAGAGAAGGAAACAGGTCTGCGACGTAAGAAGAGGTGAAGGAGCAAGGTAAGGTGAAGGGTAGGTAAGGTGAGCAGTGTGGAGTTAGGGAACTGTAAACCGTTTATGGCAGTTAGATTAATGTATCTGCAATGCTGAAATGCTATGAGAAGGGATGGAAGCATGCCCACGACATAGGAAATGGTGAAAGAAGTAGTAAAGGCTAGCAGTGTGGAGTGTGGGCAATGTTTGTGGCAATTAGGTTAACGTTTCTAAAATACTAAAATGCTATGGAAAGTGATGAAAACAGGTCCACGATGTAGGAAGTGGCTTAGGAAGTAATAAAGTATGAACATATTGTGAGAACCATCTGTGGCAGTTAGAATAATGTATCTTCAAATCCTAAAATGCTATGAGAAGGGAAGGAAACAGGCCCCACGACGTAGGATGGGGTGAAGGAAGTATTAAAGGCTGGCAGTGCAGAGTGAGTGAACCGTTTGGGCAGTTAGATAAATGTATCTAATACTTAAAATGCTATGATAAGGGAGGGAAACAGTTCTATGACGTAGGAAATGGTGAAGGAAGTAGTAAGGCTTGCAGTGCAGAGTGTGGGAACTGTCTTTGGCAATTACATTAATGTATCTGCAATCCTAAAATACTATGGGAAGAGAGGGAAACAGGTCCACGACGTAGGGTGTGGTGAAGGAAGTAGTAAAGGTGGGCAGTGTTGAGTGTGGGAATGGATAAATGTATCTGCAAAGCTAGAATGCTATGGGAAGAGACTGGTTAAAATGATTATGAAGCACGAATCGTTACATATTTCGATACGTATTCAATCGTTTACAATATAAATTTACAACTGAGTTGACAAAAGCTGAGTTTTACTCCATAGAGGCTAAAAACGAATTTTATTCCTTAAAGAGTAAAAATGCTACTTTAGACCGGCAACGCATGCATCAATGACGACTTTTTTTACTGCAGTATGACAAAAACAATATAATATTATGAACCCTTGATGACTCCGCTCAATTTTGTGGATGCATCTGCGAACGCCACCTAGTAGGCCTACACCGACTCTTGTGCATTTCGTAATACGCAAACTCCTCCTAGACGGCTGAATCAATCGTTTTCAAATTTTGCATGGAGATAAAGACCATATCGGCGAGTGCCAACATCTATATGGCGTTAAAAAGTCTCTCAGGAATCCGCCCCACTGGGTCTCAAAGTTTCAATGTAATCCTTATGGAAGCAGTATTTGACACATAAACAAAGGCATATGATCAGCTGTTCACTTTTGAATGCAGTAGTTAAAGAAATAGCTGATAGCATTATTCCACAGATATTAGAACAGAAACGGTATGGATCATAAATATAACCAAACGACGACACTAACTTGAGTTCCGTGACGTAGGAAGTGGTGAAGGAAGTGGGAGTATGTTTTATCTGTGGTAATGGTGAGCAGTCTGGAGTGTGGAAATTGTTTATGACGATTAGATAAAGGTATCTGCATTCCTAAAATTCTATGAGAAGGGGGTAAAACAGGTCCGCGACGTAGGAAGTGGTGAAGGAAGTAGTCAAGGCGAGCTGTCCAGAGTATGGGAACTGTTTATGACAATTAGATTAAGGTATCTACAATCCTAAAATGCTATTGGAAGGGAAGGAAACAGGTCCGCGACGTAGTAGGTGAAGGAAGTAGTAAAGGCAAGGAGTCCGGACTGTGGGAACTGTTTGTGACGATTAGATTAAGGTATCTGCAATCCTAAAATACTATGGGAAGGTATCAAAACAGGTCCGCGAAGTAGGAATTGGTGAAGGAAGTAGTCAAGGTGAGCTGTCTGGAGTGTGGGAACTGTTAATAACGATTAGATTAAGATATCTACAATCCTAAAATGCTATGGGAAGGGTGGAAAACAGGTGCGCGATGTAGGAAGTTGTAAAGGAAGTAGTCAAGGTGAGCTGTCTGGAGTGTGGGAACTGTTTATGACGATTAGATTAAGGTATCTGCAATCCTAAAATGCAATGGAAAGGCAGAGAAACAGGTCCGTGACGTAGGAAGTGCTGAAGGAAGTAGTGAATGCGAGCTGTTCGGAGTGTGGTATCTGTTTAAGACCAATAGATTAAGGTATTTGCAATCCTAAAATGCTATGGGAAGGGAGGGAAACAGGTATATGACGTAGGAAGTGGTGACGGAAGTAGTAAAGGCAAGCAGTCCGGACTATGGGAACTGTTAATGACAATTAAATTAAGGTATCTACAATCCTAAAATGCTATGGAAAGGCAGGCAAACAGGTCCGTGACGTAGGAAGTGGTGAAGGAAGTTGTAAAGGCGAGCAATCCGGAGTGTGGGAACTTTTTATGAAGATTAGATTAAGGCGATTAAGGTATCTGCAATCCTAAAATGCTATGGAAAGGGAGGGAAACAGGTCCTCGGCGTCGGAAGTGGTGAAGGAAGTAGTAAAGGCGAGCAGTCCGGAGTGTGGGAACTTTTATTGGCGATTAGATTAAGGTATCTGCAATCGTAAAATGCTATGGAAAGGTAGGGAAATAGGTCCGTGACGTAGGAAGTGGTGAAGGAAGTAGTAAAGACATGCAGTCTGGGTTGTGGGAAATTTTATGATGATTAGATTAACGTATCTGCAATCCTAAAATGCTATGGAAAGGGAGGGAAACAGGTCCGTGACGTAGGAAGAGGTGAAGGAAGTAGTAAGGTGAGCAGTGTAGAGTGTGGGAACTGGAAACCGTTTGTAGCAGTTAATGTTTCTGCAATGCTGAAATGCTATGAGAAGGGATGGAAGCATGCCCACGACATAGGAAATGTTGAAAGAAGTAGTAAAGGCTAGCAGTGCGGTGTGTGTGGAATGTTTGGGGCAATTAGATTAACGTATCTAAAATACTAAAATGCTATGGAAAGTGATGAAAACAGGTCCCCGACGCAGGAAGTTGCTTAGGAAGTAGTAAAGTATGAGCATGGGGTGAGAACCGTCTCTGGCAGTTAGATTAATGTATCTTCAACCCTAAAATGCTATGAGAAGGGAAAGAAACAGGTATCTGACGTAGGAAATGGTAAAGGAATCAGTAAGGGTAGCAGTGCAGAGTGTGGGAACTGTCTTTGGCAATTACATTAATGTATCTGCAATCCTAAAATGCTATGGGAAGAGAGGGAAACAGGTCCACGACGTGGTGGTGAAGGAAGTAGTAAAGGTGAGTAGTGTTGAGTGTGGGAATGGATTAATGTTTCTGCAATGCTGAAATGCTATGGGAAGACTGTAGACTGTAGGTAAAAATGATTACGAAACACGAATCGATACATATTTTCGATACATGCAATTTTTTACAATCAAAATTTACAACTGAGTTGACAACATTTGATTTTTACTCCATAGAGGCTAAAAACTATTTTTACTCCCTAAAGAGTAAAAATGCTACTTTAGACCCGCAACGCATGCATTAAAAACTACTTTTTTTACTGCAGTATGACAAAAACAATATAATATGAACCCTTGATGACTCCGCTCAATTTTGTGGACGCCTCTGCGAACGCCACCTAGTAAAGAAAATTCAATGCAAATTAACACAAATTTAATTAATAATTGTGTGCATGTGTGTGTGACAGGGGATTTTTACTCTTTCCTTTCCATTTCCACTCGGGGATTGACGTATAGGTGTTGTATTTGTTCACAGTAACTTAAGACAATATTAACTATTATTATATTTCCAGGACAACTCAACCCAAAATTCAGACCTAACACATTTAACCCTGGTGAAAGCAGAACCTTTGAACGCCCTCCGGAGGAACTACGGTTCGATGGTCAATTTGCATCCGGATCAAAACTAAAAGGATACGCAGGAATAGATTTCATTACGGTAAATACAAAAAAAACTTTGTAATGCAATGTTTATATAGTGTTGATTTTCTGTTATTGACGAAGACAACCCACCTACACGGACCAGCAGGGACTTTTTACTAAAAATGCACACAGTATGAATAAGCCACTTACAAAGTTCACCATTGTCTAAAATTATATTTCCTCCGTTAGTTTTATTAGACTGGTACGGTGGCGTCCTGCTGTAATCCAGCATCGGTCTGGCTTGGTTAGACAATTTCTGTCTTCGCCATAAATTAATAATTCATATATTGGTGGCTCAACTCACGTCCATTTTGAAAAAAAAAAAACTGGCACGAGGTTAAACATGGAGATGGAATTTTTAGTTCTATTAACAGTAACAGTTAAAGATAACAATGGACATAGCTCTTAGCCAAGGCACATGCCTTTTACAATGTGCTTTATTTAAGATATGTACAGTTGTCATACTATTGTTATAATAAGAAAACCGTCCAGCATAGGTAGGCTATATGAGACTTGGGTGTGAGGCAACTTATATTTATAAACATTTAACATTGTTAAATAAATCATGATGATAAATAATCATAAATAATACATTATTTAAGTAGTATTTATCGTATTTATGTATGAAACGTAAGATAGTTAGTATCATAGAAAAAACATATTCAGTATATAAGATTAAAAGTTCAAAAAATTCTAACTAGCCGGTGGCATTGTACTTTTATAACTTGACAATAATTCAAGCTGGAACATTAATGATTTTGTTCAAACTTTTGTTTATCGAGTCAAAATGTTAACATGAATCGTAAAACTAGATTAAGTTAGTCCTGCTGATAAATGGAGATTTGGGGTCTCCTTGAATGTGGGATTCATTAAACATTTTGCTTCATTATCTAAGTCTATGGTTTATATATTTATATTAAATTTACTGTTGTGTAACTCTTTTATTCCAATGGGGAGTGGACTAACAAAAACAATCCTTTCAACTCTAATATTATATGGTTATTTACAAGGTTCTACGTAAAGTAAAGTGCTGCCGTATTACAAATTGCAGATAGGGAGTGGAGAAAATAAAATCAAAATCAAAACCCTGATCAGTATTGCTGACCAAGTATCAGAAAGTGGACAAGGAGAAGCCGATGGTGTATTTGGACTCGGCTTTACCATGGGAAGCAAACTCGAAAAAGATAAAGTGATATCACCTTTAGAAACCATTTTCTCACAAACTGAAGTGTGCGGTGCGGTGAGCTTTTATGCAGGGAGGTGAGATATTTTATGTTTTCCAGAATGCGACGTAGGTAAGAAATCTACATAAAATTGCTGACTTAAAATTTTAATTAGTCTAGCTAGTTCAAACAAAACGGTTTTAATGGACTGTTGGCCTATGCTAAATTTTTTTAAATGCAATAAATAACCATTGCCATAAACAAAAAGGATTAAATATTTATTATATTTTGTCTATGCTATTGCCAAAGTCACTAATGTCTATTCTAATTCTGAAGACGGAGCCACACTGCATAGTAAAAATAATACCTTAACAACATACCTTAGTACCTTAATAACATGTTTATGATAATAATTACCAATTATTATTATTATCATAACAATGTTGTAAAATAACTAACAACATTAAAACAAAGAGGTTTTTAATCAATTCATTCATGTGAAACCAGTGAATTTCATGAACGAAACATTAGTATTATCTCTATCAAAATACAATCTTTTCAATTTGTTTAAGTAAGACAGATATAGCATAGTGGCCCAACCTGACTTATATTCTGGTTTTGTCTTATTTTAGTTTTTTTTTGTTTACATGGCAGACTTAACTCTGATCTGACTTATGATTCTCCCCCGATCCTTTCCGATCCTTTGAGCGGGGAGCTGTATTTTGGAGGTTTCAACAAAAAGTATCTGCAGAATCCAAATAGACCTGACATAATTACAGCCAAGGTTACTCCAAGAAGAGATGCCCGCGGTTGGGCAAATACGTACGTTTATACGTACTGGGAAATTGAAACAAAAGGGTAATTCTACGTTGTTTTTAAAAACATTTAACTAATAGTATATATTTTCATCACTAGGGCCTAAAGTGACTCTTTCGACCCGATCTCAAGTGTTATGACCGAGGCGAATCCGAGGTCGGAAAATGAGCGAGGGTTTAAAAGCCACTTTTTGCCCGTATGATGAACTATAATTTTTGTCATATTGCATAACAACAAACTAAGCTATGCAACGAAAATACTTTTAAGTCTATGTCCCACGACGCGTTGCGCGGCGTACCACGCGACGGTGAAAATGCTCGGGCGGAGCGTCTGTGCGCGTTTTGTGGCGACTGATAAGAGCCGCGCGTTTAGAGCCGTACGGCTCGAGACCTATGCCGCGACTCCCGCGAGTAGTGAATAGTGCAGCTGCACTCTCGACCGTCATGGAATAAGCACAGTTGGCATCGAATATATTACTTGGAGAAGACGAGGAAAAGGAAATATTAATGTGAATGGTAAAAAACAATGAACAACCTAATCCATTGTTCATGGTACGGTGAAAAGAGGGATTTCAGAGTATTCTCATTCAGAGACATCTTGTTCGAATATAGGGGGTGCTTGGGGTTGAAAACGGATGGGTCGTGACGAACCAGTTCAATCAACTTTGAATCATCCATGAAGGTACACATCCCAAACTCCGTTTTGTATAAACTATAAATTCGTTACAGCCGCTTCAGTCGCGCTGCTTTAGACGCTCGATATAAATGGGTTGTATTTAACTTTGCATTTGAAACACTCAATTTTTTCAGCCGAGCGACTAGAGTCGTAACAGTCGCAGGATAGGAATTGGACCTTTTACGGAGAGATTCTGCCTATAATTTCACTATTGATACAGTTTAGATGCTTGACACGGGTGAGGTTCATAATGTCCAAATTTCACAAACTCCAACGTCTAAAACATTAAATAAACAGTGCGTTTCATAACCTCCAAATTTCATAAACTCCAAAACTACAACTTTCAAATAATCACCGATTCACAATGTCCAAATTTCACAAACTCCAACGTTTAAATATCAAATAAACAGAGCGGTTCATGACCTCCAAGTTTCATAAGCTCCAACGGTACAGTCTCTGCCAGAAGTCGCTGCAGAGGTTGCCGTGCCATAACAAAAAAAAAACTACTGATGTAATCATCATGAAATTTTAACAGCTATTAGAAAATATACTTATAAAATATATTTATATGTTTTAAAATTTTTCATCGGTAAAAAAAATCTCTTACGATATTTGTAGTGGCTTTTTAATTGAGAGACGGAACAGTTAAGAAACTCAGTGAATTAAAGCTATTAAAAATATAAAAATGTAAATTTGATTTGCACATTGTGTGCTAACACATATTTGAGTCACACACCTGAGTGTTCTTCAATCATTAAAATGCACGTATAATCAGTAGTTGAGCGCTGGCGAACGGTGCCTGATATCTGACTGTGGCAACCACTGTAGAGACTTCTGGCCCAGACTGTGCCGTTGGAGGTTATGAAATTTGGACATTATGAACCGCACTGTTTATTTGGTATCTTAACGTTGGAGTTTGTGAAACTTGGACATTGTAAAACAGTGATTACTTGAATGTTATAGATTTGGAGCTTATGAAATTTGGAGGTTATGAACCGCTCTGTTTATTTAATATTTAAACGTTGGAGTTTGTGAAACTTGGACATTGTGAACTAGTGATTATTTGAATGTTATAGTTTTGGAGCTTATGAAATTTGGACATTATGAAACGCGCTGTTCATTTAATATTTTAAGCGTTGGAGTTTGTGAAATTTGGAGTTTATGAAACGCTCCCCTTGACACTTGAGTTAGGAGCTTAACAGAAAGTTAAACACAGTTTAGAAAAAAAGTACATACATTCAAATGTTCAAAGTTTCATTCTACGTAAGGTACTTCTGTAAAAATAAATACTTAAGCTATGTCACGTTGTTCCCCGAGGTACTGTAATAAAAATAAAATTTACATCTTAATTTAAAAAAAATCCAAACCACGTTATATTGTTGTGCTATTTTTGTGCTTGTTTGTACCGCAAACAAAACTGTTGTACCACTTTTGTTAACCAAAAAACACAAAAAATGATGGCAAAATTGGGGACAATTGGACAAGACATATATATTTTTTTAAATCTAACCACTAATATATTTGTACCTTTTTGTACGGTAAACAACAGTTATTAGTGTGTGAAGTAGAACTTTGCACTCGTGTTACATATTGTATTTTTCCTACAGTTACCATAAAGCATAGAAATATTTAGTCTTTCAAACCGTAAACATGTTTTAGGTTAAGGCCTTTTCACACCACGCGTCCAGGCAGTTTTTTACAGAACAATTTTAGAATTAAATAGTATTACAAAGTATTTTGAAATAAACATATATACAATTTTAAAAACTTAAAATTAATTTAAATCACTTACTAGTACCGGGGGACCGAGCCTTGCTCGGTTGTGGTTAATTGGGTTTAACCGTTAAAACAACATCGTCAACAAACAGTTTATAGTTTATGAAAAACATTTTTATTACAAGCCATAGACATTTTTGATCGCTGAAATAATAACAACTCTGTAATGAAAAATTATGCAATCAAACAAAAATAAGATACACTTTTATGGACTTTAGTTTAAGTGCCACTTGCACAGAACTTTTCTCTCCTCCAGCCTTTGAACGTCTGGATTACAAACAGGCTATGCTATTATAGTATTGGAGTGTAGGATAGCAAAACAAAAATACAATTGAATCAAATTAGAAAATAATATGTGGTTAGGTATCTCACGAAGGTTAAACCCAACGATATAAACAACTCATGGATCGCTGGCTCAGTGTTGGCCGCGCGGTCGAGCTTCCCCCACCATCTACTGGCAGAAGCCGACGCAGCCCATACATTCACCATTATAAAACACACTTTTTATTTGCTGCTCTGTTGAAATTTATTGGAATAAAATATTACTAACGCTTGTCAAACTCTTTTTACTAGTTAAACCTTATGTCTGTTTTGTTTCTTGCAGAAAATAGCCCATCTGAATTCTTTAAAACTACAAATTCACTAAACCCGTTTTGTAGATGTTTTTAGACAACTGATATTGCTAGTTCCAAATTTTACATGGTAAAATAATAAGTGATTACAAAGGAGAAATAGAAAGTACAATATTTGTAATTGAAATTATATTTTATTAATCGAAAAAATAGTACATAAACATCCTACTAATATTATAAATGAGAAAGTTTGGATGTATGGATGTATGGATGTATGGATGTATGTTTGTGACAAGTGAACGCGAAAAATACTGGACGGATTGGGCTGAAATTTGGCATGATGATAGCTCACATTCCCGATTAACATATAGGCATATTCTTATTTCAAAAATCCTTTCGGGCTCCGCCCCAGTGGCTCTGGAGTTTCCCATGTTAACCTTATGAGAAATGGAATTATTGAATCTTAACAGCTGTTTCAATTAAACAAGTTGGTTCTGTTCTATGATGTTCAATAGCATTAAAGTTACAAGGATTACCAACAGGGTGCAGCACTATTATTTCTTTTACATTTATGAAAACAGCTAATTTGCAACCAAAAGGTGAGTGAGCGTAGCGAACGAACTTCAACCTGGAGGGGAGTTAGCGTAGCGAACGAGCTAACCTGAAGGCAAGTGAGCGCAGCGAACGAGCTCCAACCTAAAGGTGAGTGAGCGTAGCGAAAGAGCTCCAACCTAAAGGTGAGTGAGCGTAGCGAACAAACTTCAACCAGGACGTGATTGAGCCATAAAACGAGATAATCTTGAAAATTAAGAAGTTAAACGGGGCAAAGCCCGCGGGTTACAGCTAGTTTAAAATAATTTTGATAAGTTTTTGCCGCAGTGATAACGTTATGTTTGACGTAAACGTGATATTTTTTTCTTTCAATGTTTAATGACAATGCATCTTACAAAATAGGTCTTAAAAAAGTATGCCTATCACGTTAATGTCAAGCATAGATTTGCGGTAATAACTGGACAAATTTAGTAGGGTTTTTAAGAGTTCAAATGTGCTATTTTCTGCAAGAAAAGAAGAAGACATAAAGTTTGGAATAGTAAAAAGTGTTTGGCATGCATTAGCAATATTTTATATCTATATATTTAAAGAGAGCAGCAACTTAAAAATTTGCGTTTTACAATGGTGAGTGTATGATCTGCGTCGGCTACTGCCAGTAGGTGTGGGGGGGAGCTAGACCGAAAACAGCGCCCGCAGTGCTACTGAGAGCGCAATCCAGTAGTTTTTATGCCCCCAGTACACTCTCGCCGAGATGTTCGCCGAGGTGCCTCGCCGAGGCGCTCGCCGAGTAATTAGGGCGAGAGCTTATGCGAGGTAACCGTGCACACTCTCGCTTTGTCTCGCAGTCGAAATGGAGGCAAACTTCGATGTGGAAGTAGCAACATTAACCTTGTTTTGTGCATATTCTTATTTTAATTATATTAAGGCGTACTTTTTCTTCAATTCGGTTACTGGACGGTTGAGTTTTACGCTCTAACGGCACCAAGCATCTGTTAGTTTACGTTTGTCCTTGTGGTGTACGTGTGTTGGGTCCCACAATAACGACTCACCATGGTAGGCTTCCAAAGAGTCAAGAACTGTGTTATTTGACCAATCCATGTTTACTTTAACACAAAATGCACCCAAAAACTAACAACACACAGCTGAACTAACCACGAGACAAGGCGAGAGTGAACTGGAGTGCCTCGCGCTCGCCACTCGCTCAGTCTCGGGTCCTTTGACTCGTGTCAAAAAACCGACTCCAGATGGAGCGTCGGCGAGCACGAGGCGAGGCGAGGCGAGGCGACCCGAGTCAAGGCAAGACAAGACGAGCGCACCGAGTACACTCTCGCACTCGCCAACGCTCGCCTTGTCTCGGCGAGAGTGTACTGGGGGCATTACATCGTTGGTTAAACCCAAGCGTTGAATGGAATGGGAAACATTGCACCAGCTGATTGTAGTCGTAGAATCTTTAGGTGAAGACATCCCATCCATATGGATCAGCTGTTGCCAATATTTACTAATAACCACGAATACTAGAGGTATTTTTCTAGTAATCGTGCTAATAACTAATGTAGTTGTTTAAGCCAGTCACAGATTTCTCTAGTGTCTAAAACTCTATTTTGTACCTTATTTTTTCTTTCTGACATAGTTACTGGGTCATAACAGTTGCTATAGCTCATAATAAGTCATTCCATCAGTTTGAGTTGGTGAAAACCATCGTGTAATAAGCGGAAATCAGTAATTAATATCAGTGCAAACTGTAGGTGGCTCACATCAACTATGTAAATTTGATTAAAACCCTGGCGACAACTTTAACGATCTATAGGAACTGGAATGTCTAGGGTGTTACTTATTTTTAAGAGCACACGTATAAACAGTAATAACCAGTATAAACAGAATAAACAAGTAATTTTGTAACTTTCTTACTTCAAACCAAGAAGAAAACAGTTCGTATGCTCGTTCATACTTCTTTCTTGATTTTTCAGGAAATAAATTTAATGAAACATGTTTTGCAGTTTCTGCTACATATTTCTTCTGGTGTACACATGTATTCACAACCACTGAGTTCATCATTCTCAAACATGTTAGGCACACTTATAATTATTCTTTCAAATACTACACTTTAGAGGTTATGTTCAAACCAAGCGATGAACGAAAATAGAATAGAAATACGAAATAACAAGTTAAATCATAGTATCAATTGTCAATCAGCTGATCGTAGTAGCAGTATCCTTAAGTGTTGCCAACCTATTTCCAAGTGTACACGGATTACGTGGATAATAAAACCACGCTGTTTTGTGTTGTTTGGTTGGAATACTGGTGTGGGCCAAAGTATAAACCGTGCGAGAAAGTATAAACAACAGACAACCGAATAAACGGTGTGACAAAGTAAGTAAATGCAACAATTAGCTGCTTTCTGTACTATAATCAGTGCAAGGAAGCCAACTTTGTCGGGTGACTGTAGGAAAAATATTTTGTACCCCCTTAGTCCTTAGTTTCTTGGTTCCATGTCAAATCGCAATGTAAAAATCTCGGAAAACAAGTAGACGCATGCGCCGGACACTATACTTAGCACTCCCTCTCCGTTACTGTACTTAGAATCTGTTATTTTAACCAACTGCTTTTATTAAAAACCAGGAGTTGACTCCCTGGTCTCTACTGAGGATGACTTTAACTTGTCTATCACCTTCAACTTTTCCAAACCATAAACAGATTGGTGAGGTGATTCATAAATGTTTCATTTGTAGTATATAATTTAATTTTTAAGTGATATATGGTTACTAATAGTTACTAAGTTACTTAATAGTTAGTTAATAGGTTACTTCAACTGAAAACAAAGATCCACTGATAGACAGCTTTAAGATTAATGTGGAGACCAAAGCCAACAACTAAAAGGCTGTAACGTCAGACGGTAAGGTAAGGTATTGAGTGTACTTATAAACAGTACCGCTCTCTACTCTGTATTTCCAAGACAAAGGCTCGTTTTTGTTATAAAGACAAACTTTGAGCAGTTGGTAAACCAGCAAAACATTGTTAAACCTGACTAATTGTATTGAACTACTTTCAAACATCAACCTTGACCTACACTTTTTAACCAAAAATATTTGTTTGCAAAATAGGTTATTTGTTGGAAATGCTCCACTGAACAGGGGATCTAGGGGATTCAGCAAAATTATTCTGGATACAGGGTTTTCGGACATTGGAATTTCATCTCGAGAGATGACACTACTGATTTCTGAACTATTTAAAGGTGATCAAAAGCTTTCAAGAGACGCACTCAGAGGATATGTAAGTAAAACGACTACTCTTTGAAATAGGTACCTACTCTTTCACTGAGGAGCCTCGTAATCTCCTAAGGAGATGCCCAACTGCACCGATATCTAATTTGGGGGTGCCTAACTGATTTTCATTACAACCATCGTATGGATCTAAAAAAATTGGTACACTGAAGCTTGTTTTACGGTTACAGATTAAATTAAAAAACAACTCCACATTTGAATTTCCCTTGTGTTCTTATGGAGAAAATCGTTTTTTTAAACCTCTTTCATTCCCTGTATCAGCAAAACTAAGTACTCGTTCAACCTGATGAAGGGAATAAATCTGATATGTTTAAGGAACGCTTTTGGTTAAAATCCAATCAGACAAAAATAAAATTTGCTTAGTCTGCAAGATTGCGGTCTGGGGGGTATTTAAAAAAAAACTGTCGTAAATTGAAAATCCCAGATAAAATAAAAATGTGTATAAATAAATAAATAAAAATGCCTTTATTTACGAGCGAGTTTCATGATACATATATATACAAGTATATACAAAAAATGTCAACAGAATGATTTACAACATAAATTGTACACTTGTTTTTTTCATATAGGGAATATAATAATGAATAATATATTTATTCTTGTAGATTGACTGTAAGATACTACCGGATGAACTGCCAAGTGTTACATTTAAAATCCTTGATACGCAAAACAGAATAAGGGATCTTGTTTTACAGCCTAACGACTACATCCAATCTACCGTAAGTAGTACATACTGTAATATTATTCCACGCCTAATTGATGTGTTGTATTTACTATGATGGTCTTAATAAATATTCACGTACATTTATAGATTCTTAAACAGTGTGATGGAAAAGTCCCGGAACGGTGTAATATATTTTTTATTATTATAGATAAAGTAATGAGACTTGGAATAATAATCATTAATGTCTACTCTTTTAAGCTATCATCATTTTTATCCACTTGAATGGGGCAGCCCACGAGGAGTCAGACAAAATTCTTAAAATAGCAGCATAGGTCGAGTTGGGTATTAAAAAAGTTCTGGGTTAGTAGAACAGATTGACGCAAACCCGTGCTCAAACGGACAACCAAGTCAAAAATGACAGCTTTTCAAAGATTTATTGAATTTGCAATGCTATTATACGCCATTTCCTCAGGGGGGTCGCTAGGATTCGGAAGAAAATCATTAACTAAAACCTCGATATGCACATCAAATTAAAGGGGTTTATTAGAAGAATACAATACCGCTAATTTGATCCCGAAAGAACAACTGAGTAAGAATTGGTGGATTTATTTGTGTACCAAATGTTCCAGGGTCATCAGATAAATATAAATTTCTATTCTGTGCTCTCTGCTGGACGTAACATACCTTCGTTTGTCTTAACAGTGGAGCTACCTTATTAACTATCTTCCCATCTTCTCCTCTATCAGGAATATACACATTGCATAATTGCGGCCGTTCAAAGATTCAAAATAGTACAGTGCAATTAGCTTAAAAAAAGAGCAAACCAGGACATCCAAAAAAAAGTTTCAAACCAGTGCCAAATTGTTGAATACACTTCCCTCAATATGTAAAAAAAAGTTACACTGTTTTGAGTGTCGGGTTTGGGGGGGAGGGGGTGAAAATGGGATGAAAATAGGACTTTTTTTACTTTTTTGCAAATACCTCAAAAACGGTGAGTTTTTCTTAAAATACAATGAATTACAAAAATAATCTACATTACATTTCGAACAAAATGACACCATACAATACCTATCTACTATGAACGGTTCCGGAAATATTGGGGGGTAAATGTGATTTTTTTCTAAAAATTCTAAAAAAAATTGTTTTTAAATGGAGAAAAACCATGGACACTCATAAAAAAAGTTTCTAATGAGTGCCAAATTGTTCAATATTCCTCCCTTAATATGTGTAAAAAGTTACACTGATTTGAGTGTCGGATTTGGGAAGTAGGGTTTAAAGAAAATGGGGTGAAAATAGGACTTTTTTTACTTTTTTGCAAATACCTCAAAAATGGTGCGTTTTTCTTAAAATACAATGAATTACAAAAATAATATAAATTAAATTTAGAACAAGATGATACCATTCAATACCTATCTACCATTTACGGGTAAGGAGATATTGAGGGGTAAATGTGATTTTCTTCTTTTAATTCTAAAAAAGTTGTTTTTTTAAATTCATGAAAACTATGGATACCCATAAAAATCTCCTAATGAGTGCTAATTTATTCAATAGACCTCCCTTGATATGTGTAATAAAGTTACACTGATTTGAGTCTCTGATTTGGTAGGAGGGCTTTTCAAAAAGGGAGGCTCGTAAAGGGTGCTTTTTTTATATAATGAATTAAAAAAAAATCTTTATTGAATTTTAAACACAATCATATTTACAATACCTATCAACTATGAACGGTTGTAAAAATTCAACTACATTCTAATAAAATAATAAAATACGATAAAAATATTGATTTCCTTGTAAAAAAAATTGCCACAATTTTCCAAAATGGCAGCTAACTTTAATATTGGAACCTTCCGTATTTCATGGTCTGTTTAAGATATAAATGCGATTTTAACTCATTTTTGTTCTTTGCATATTCTCTATAAACTTATTCGTATATGAGCTACAGGATGCGGAATGTATACAGCAAGCCTTTTTTCCATAAGTGTAACACGTTACGTTGTAACTCATAAATGAGTAGTTTTTAAGAGAAAATGTCCAAATTAAAAATGTCTTAAAATTGCATTTGAATTATAAAATAATCATAAACCACAGGGTGTTCCATAAGAAATAACAAAGTTGTCAGCCATATTGGAAAATGGCAAACATATTTTTAAAATTGGAAATCATCCCAAAAAACATCTAAAAAGTAAAGGGGAGTGATCCATAAGAAGTCAACTCTATAACTCATAATAAAAAAGGTGAGTTTCAACGCTATTGGTTCACTTTACGTGAGACATCCTACAGGGTGTCCCGTAAGAACAGCAAAACTCCAGAAAATGGTTTTATGGGTCAAAATAATAAGAAAATCAGGAATAAATTATTTCCCAAAATCACTTCGTTAACCAGATATTTGTCATTTTGTTTTTTTACACATAAACAGTATTTTATCTTTGAATTTTTTAACCGATCATTATGTAACTTGGTATGTATGTTGAGGTAAAATAGGATCTCGTTAGAAAAATAATGATCTTAATCCAATTAAAAATTTCAAAATGGCGGCCATTTAAATTTTTTTAAATTGAAATTGCAAAAAATGACTAATTTTATGAGACTTTTATGAACTTCATTTAGCTTTTAAAATGATGAAAATAATAAAAAAAATAAATGAAATATCACGATTTTTAGTTGTAAAATGAGGCAAACCTGAATAGCGAAGCCTTGATCTTAATAATTTTACAACTAAAAATAGTTATAATTTAGTAATTTTTATTAAATCTTACTGAGCTTGGTGTCGTTTGATAGGGAATTTTAAAACATAAATAAAAGTTTTCATTACATTTTTCATAAAAATAGCCTTTTTTGCAATTTAAATTTAAAATATTTAAATGGCCACCATTTTAAAATTCTTTATTGGATTAAGATAATTTATGGGTGTCCATGGGTTTTCTCCATTTAAAAAACAATTTTTGTAGAATTTTAAGAAAAAATCACATTTACCCCTCAATATCTCCTGAACCAATTATTGTAGATAGGTATTGTATGGTATCATTTTGTTCGAAGTTTAATGTAGATTATTTTTGTAATTCATTGTATTTTAAGAAAAACTCGCCGTTTTTGAGGTATTTGCAAAAAAGTAAAAAAGTCCTATTTTCACCCCATTTTCTTTAAACCCTACTTCAAAAATCCCTCACTCAAATCAGTGTAACTTTTTTACACATATTAAGGAAGGTCTATTGAACAATTTGGCACTCATTAGAAACCTTTTCTATGGGTGTCCATGGTTTTTCTCCATTTAAAAAACAATTGTTTTTAGAATTTTAAGAAAAAATCACATTTACCCCCCAAAATTTCCTGAACCGTTCATAGTAGATAGGTATTGTATGGTATCATTTTGTTTAAAATTTAATGTCGATTATTTTTGTGATTCATTGTATTTTAAGAAAAACTCGCCGTTTTTGAGGTATTTGCAAAAAAGTAAAAAAAGTCCTATTTTTACCCCATTTTCTTTAAACCCAACTTCCCAAATCCGACACTCAAATCAGGGTAACTTTTTTACACATATTAAGGGAGGTATATTGAACAATTTGGCACTCAATAGAAACTTTTTTTATGGGTGTCCATGGGTTTTCTCCATTTAAAAAACAATTTTTTTAGAATTTTAAGAAAAAATCACATTTACCCCTCAATATCTCCTGAACCGTTCATTGTAGATAGGTATTGTATGGTATCATTTTGTTCGAAATGTAATGTAGATTATTTTTGTAATTCATTGTATTTTAAGAAAAACTCACCGTTTTTGAGGTATTTGCAAAAAAGTAAAAAAGTCCTATTTTCACCTTATTTTCACCCCCTCAACCCCCAAAACCCGACACTCAAATCAGTGTAACTTTTTTTTACATACTGAGGGAAGTGTATTTCAACAATTAATTTGGCGCTGGTTTGAAACTTTTTTTTTGATATCCCGGTTTAGGTCTAATTGCACCGTACTAAAATGGCAGATTCAAGAAGTATTTTTTTAAATGGCTGCCAATTTTGACTCGGCTGTCTTTTTGCGTTATGGTTTGCTGCTATGTGTTCTAAATTTCCACGATCACCATGGAAATTTATATCAGCTGATTTGAAAATATGGTTTACTATATTTTAATTAGTGTCACCACGGCCCGGTCTTCGCTGCAAGCGATCTTTGGCCCGTATTTTGTGACTAGTGCTAAAATATATTACATTTTATTTCCGAATTTCCAATTTATTTAATAACTACCTAAGATAAGATATAGGCTACCTAAAATTATGCGGTTGTCAGAAACACTAATATATCTTAAGCCAAAAAAGATCGATTGCTTTAATGAATCATATTTTAATATGATATGTTTGGATATAAAGACAATTTCTTTTCAGTAATGTGTTATGAAAATTGTATTTTCATTTTGAATTTTACTATTTTTGTCAAGTGTTTACTTATTTTGATTACGATTCTTTAGTGGTCTCAATGTTTTTATATATAAAAGCACTAATGATGAATTTTGAGAGAATTTGAGTATCTTTTAATGTGAAATATAGTAAAAGTGGTGTTTGGTTACAAACATTCCTCAAAATTTTTAGTTTGGCATGACATCTAATGTTATCACTTAATACATTCATAAGGCCATAAAGCTCAAACTCTCTTCAGGGTTTACCAACTTCAACTACTAATGTAATATAACATAGGTGCAAATAGCAGAAATTGTTTGCAGTGTTTATGTAATTTTAAAAATGTTATTGAACATTTTCTAACTTTAATTGACCCTGCATTGTTTTATGTCATCTTAGCAATTCATAAGTAGAACTACGAACTATGAATGTATATTTCCTTTGATGAATATATGAATGTAAATTCTTTTTTTTCAGAAAGACGAAACCAGGTGTAAATGGCGTTTCATGGAAATTGGAAATAATCTGAATTTTTACATGTTAGGTGTACCTTTCTTTCAAAAGTACTACACTTTATTTGATTTTGAAAATAAAGAGGTGTCATTTACGTTGGCAAAACAAGATGTCACAAAGAGTATTCAACCTGGCAAAGCTGCGAAAGAATTGGTCCAAAAGCAACTGGAAGCATTTAAGAGGAGGATGGAAGGCGGATCATAAAAAAGTCACATACTTTACTGTAGTTTTTCAATGCGCTACAATATTGTGTATGGGTTTTCCGAAGGAGTAAATAAATAAATTTGATCTTTTGACTTTTCCATAAATTATTTAAGACCTATTTTTAAATCCAAATATGAAAACAAAACACTATCATACCTCCCATATAGATGATAAAGTCAAAATGTGTACCTTTTTGGACACAATAATAAAATTCACTATCGTTACATATTATATCGATAATGTGTTTGGCTAAAGTAACTCAATATTTTCATACACAGTGATGGATGATTTATTTTCATATTGGAAATATCGTTCATTCATTGTGTTGACATACTTATTCATAATTAATGTTTACATGATAGTGTATACAATATTTTCCAGTGCAACCATCTCAACTAAATTAATTAGGTTGAAAAAATAATTGATTAAAGACTACTGGAAAAGACAGGAATGATGTATAATGTTTGTACAGTAAAATGAGGTGTTGGAGGCTCCGCTACCATGAGTGTGGGGGTGAATTTCCAGATACTGTAGCACGGACACAATAAATTCACGTGAAATTATTGTTATGTACCTTTTTACATTGTTCATGTAGAATTCACGTGAAAAAAAGATTCAAATGTCACACTTGTTCACGATAAAAATAAAATAACGTGAGAAATAAACTTGAAAATCACTTCAATTTTATTAACATAATTAATAAAGTGTTTTAAAACATTTTATTAATGCATGAAATAAATGCGATTAACTGTGCAATAGTCAAATTTTTCAAAAACAATTTAGCTACGTGTTTACTTTTTCATATTGTTTAAAATAAGAAAAACTTGTCTGATTAAATGTTTTTACAAAATTCAAAGTGAAAAGTAAAGGGCAATGGCAAACTTAGTTTTGGAGAAATTATGTGTAAGAAATGCAAGAATCAAACATTTTCACTCTTCCAGTTTGTATTTATAAATACCAGTTGTTCTGCCTGTGCCTCACCACGGACGGGGAGAGAACGCAGAGAAGATTTAGTGATTCTTCCTTGCCTCGTAAATGCAAACTGCTGTGTGTAGTTGATTAAGCACTCCCAAGAAGCTAAAATTATTGGCAAATTGTTGGCCCAACGTCTCTGTCGATGGTTGGCCATCGGTATGTTTTGGTACTAAGTTTTACGGTTAGCCAACCAACCAATTTTTAACGAAGGGCCAACCATCCCATGGGACCTAAACATAAAAACACAAAATAATAAAGATTTAGTATGAAAAGCATAATTATTAGTTGAGTAATTATTACTTGAGGGGCATGGAAAATATGATCATTCATAAACAAAATTCAAAATTATGTCTCTACGCTGATGACTCAAATTTAATTTTATCAGCTGACTCATTGGAGGAGATACAAATTTTTTCTTCTAATGAACTTAATAACATTGGAGACTACTTTTATGATCATAACCTTATTTTAAATTCTGAAAAAAAACTAAGTTCATAACGTTTAAAACACAACAAAACCGAAATCTTCAGATCCAACATTAGAATAAATCACAAAAAATCAACCGGGAAAGTAGTATAAATTTTCTAGGTTTAACGATAGATGAGCACCTAAATTGGGATGAGCATGTTAAAAAGATCCTGCTAAAGATTAATTCTGGAGTTTATGCTCTATCAAAAATGTCTTTTTATTGCAATATAAACACTTTAAAGAATATATATTTTGCTCATGTACATTCCCATATCCAATTCGGCATAGCATTATACGGTTCAACAAAACAAAGAAATATGGACTCTATTTTAAAACAGCAAAAAAAAAAAACTATCAGGATAATGCTCAAGCTTAAGGGGGATGATTCAGCCAAACAACACTTTACACATCTAAAAATTTTTACAGTTTATGGACAATATATATATGAAGTTAGTCTTATTGCTAGAAAACAAGATTTGAGTGAAAAACCAATTACAAGCCAGAACTATAAGCTTAGGAAAAAAAGGTGGGGTTGTTGAACCTCATAGGCTCAAGTTTTATGAAAAACCCGTCCAATGCAGGCCAAAGATTTTTAAAATTTATCCCCAAAAATATAAAAAAAGAAACAGATTTTAATAAGTTTAAAAAATTACTCAAAGATTATATATTAAATTTAGCTATTAGAGTTCTCCACCTCCCTGGCATAGGTAGCATTAAGTTATTTTAAATTTGTATTTCATTCTTGACTAACTTAAGACTTGTTGTTATTATTTTACTTGTTAATATTTACTAATATCATTGGAATTGTATTTCTTTTTATTGGTGCTATTCATTGTACCACCTTTGTACAAAAAATATGAATAAAGAATATGAATAATTAATTAAATAGGTAAAAAAACAAATTGGAAAAACTAGAATAAATATTTTTGCCCAGACGGCCGTCTTACCTCTGAGCTATCTGTGCTTGTTGATATTGAGAGTTTTCAAGTGGTCAAAGAGTAGGTGACAGTTTTAATGGTCGCAATACTTTTACGCAATATTTTTGATACAACTACAGTATATAATGTGATTCTGTTATCTGTTTAGGCATCAAGTAGTTGAATTGTTTTGTTTTTCTGGGAGTTGAAGAGGATACTGGCATTTGGATATATATTATTTAATTACCATTAGATTAGTAATCTATCCATCTATACTATTATCATTGACTATTGGATACTGAAGTAGACTTCCCATCTATATGGACCAGCTGTAGCCAATTTTTTATTAAAAAAGAATGTAGTTGAGTGAGCCAGTCACAGAATGCTCTAGTGTCTAAAATTCTAGTATACCTTATTTTTTGTTGCTGACCAGGTTGATGGGTCATAACAGTTGCTAAAACTCATCAAAAGTGATTCCCTAAGTTTGACTTGGTTTAAAAGATTGTGTATTAGGGAGAATTTAGTAATTTAGATAAGCACAATCTGTAGGTGGCTCACATCAACTACAACGATTTTGATTAAAATGTTGGCTACAAATTTAACACGAGGAAAAGCTATTATAAAGAAGAGGTTGTGTCTGTCCGTGTGCGTGTGTGTGTGTGTGCGTGTGTGGGTGTTGGTGTGTGTGTGGATGTGTACAGATCTACTAGACTACACCTGTGGTCCGATATTGATGAAATTTGGGGTACTTTCCTGTTAAAGTGAACATTCATTATTATCGATGATTTATTTTCGATATACCGATATTTTATTTTTTTACTCAATATATTTATATTGATAAATTGAATCTTATCAGCTGACAACAACAATAAATAAATATTTTTCAGTATCAACAAACAAAAAAAAACATATCTTCTTATATATAAAAAAATGGTTTTTCTTTTCCGAGTTCGTTTGGCTCTTCTACACGACCGATTTTCATGATTGAGGTCTCAAATTGAAGGTATGCATGCACATATTTGCCATCAAGCATCGGCATATATTTAACTATAATCCCACTCCGCTCATACGTAAACAAAATTTGCCCTCCGTGTGTTTCTTATGGGAGTTAAATTTGGTTTCTCTTTTCCGAGTTCGTTTGTCTCTTCTACCCGACCGACTTTTATGATTTAGGTCTCAAATTGAAGCTATATGCACGCACTTATTTGCCATCAAGCATCGGCATATATTTAACTATAATCCCACTCCGCTTATGCGTAAACAAAATTTGCTCCCCATGTATTCCTTATGGGAGTTAAAAATTTGGTTTCTCTTTTCCGAGTTCGGTTGGCTCTTCTACCCGACCGATTCTCATGATTGAGGTCTCAAATTGAAGGTATGCACGCACAGATTTGCCATCAAACATCGGCATATATTTATCTATAATCCCACTCCTCTTATACGTAAACGAAATTTGCTCCCCATGTATTGTATTCGCTTTCCATACAAAATTAATTCCACTGCCACTGCTACTCCCCACTCCATCAACGATTCATTCCGATCCGATCCGATGCCGATTCCATTTCCATCTCCTCTCAGTCCACTCCAATCCAATCTCCATCTGAGGCTGACGTCGATCTCATTTCATTTCATTTCATTTTATTATTCTCTTCTTCTCTTCTCTTCGTGTTGTTTTGTATTTTTTTAGACCTTTGACCTTTATAAATCTATCAATTTATAAACATTAACATGTTTGGTTAATATGGGGGAGTGGTTTATGGAGCTTCTTTTATTTGTGTTTTATTATGGTTAATTCATTCATTACCGGTATAGTGTAATAGGAAATAGGATTTCATGTAGTAGGCCTAACTTACTACACATAACCTAGCTTTTTTGTGCTCTATAAGTTAGTTGTTTCCCATAGGCTACTGTTACTTAATTATGTTACCCACTATGTTTGATAATATACTATCAAAAAGAAGAAGACAAATAGACACTCTTAAGATATTCAATGCAAAGTAAGTGAACCTATTTTTTTTTATATTTCACTAAGCTAGCCTAGGCGCTTATTGCTCATATGATAGCCTACTTACAATAATAACTCAGGCTTAGGCTTAGCCTATCTAGTACTCCAAGGCTTAAGGCTTAGACCATATCATATAAAGTAGGCTAATTGGATGCAATACTCCCTGGTGTGGATTAAGTTTAACGTCCACACTAGTGAGTACTACCAGTAGGCCTAATCCTGATAATTAGACCAATTCGTCAGCTGCATTTTAGTTTATTTCCTACACTCATTCGAATGAAAATTATCAATATAACTTATAGACTATTTGATATATCAACTATTTCATTTGATTAGTCAAATATAACTTATACAGTAAATTAGTTAGAATAAGTTAGGTATTATATATGAATATTGAGCGAGTAGTCATTGATATTCGATGTTTTGGTCTTATCCTAGCAACCCTAATATTGTCGATCCATGGTTTTTGTCCTAATTTATATGTCAAATTCATGTTTATTGTACATTAAGCTATTCTGTGTTATTTTTTCTTTTACGAAACCCTTCTGGAGGATCTAACTTTGGATATTTGGTTGAGATTGATGACTCAACCTTGGTAAACAAAGAATTGAAGTGTTGAAGACGTTATGTCAGATGCCAATGACTTCTGTGAAGCTGCCAATAACTTCGCCAATAACTAGTGCATGTGTGTGTGTGTACTGTGGAGCGCGGGCAGCGCGCG